ATTTTGATGATGATGTGTCTTGGTGTGGGCCTCTTGGGGTTCATCTTGTTTGGGACTCTCTGTGCTTCCTGGACTTGTATGTCTGTTTCCTTCACCAAGTTAGGGAAGTTTTCTGCCATTATTGTTTCAAACAGGTTTTCAATTTCTTGTTCTTGCTCTTCTCCTTCTGGCACCCCCAGGATGCGAATGTTGGCACGTTAGAAGTTGTCCCAGAGGCTCCTTACACTATCCTCATTTTTTTTGGATTCTTTTTTCTTTTTGCTGTTCTGATTGGGTGTTTTTTGCTTCCTTATATTCCAAATCAATGGTTTGCTTCTTGGATTTACGTACTCTACTATTGAATCTGTGTAAATTATTCTTTATTTCAGTTAATGCCTCCTTCATTTCTGACTGTGCATCCATCATTTTTGACTGGTCCTTTTTTATGCTCTTGAGGCCCTCCCTAAGTTCACTGAGGTTCTCACTAAGTTCATTGAGCATCCTTATAAGCAGTATTTTGAACTCAGCATCTGTTAGGTTGCTTATCTCCATTTCGCTTAGTTCTTTTCCTGGGGCTTTGTTCTGTTCTTTCATTTGGAACCTGTTTCTTTGTCTCCTCATTTTGGCTGCCTCCCTGTGTTTGTTTCTGTGTATTACTTAACAAGAGGTATGGGGCTAGCTGAGACCAGATGCTGCTTGTTTGAAAGAATTTAGGAAAACCTGAAGCAGGATCCAAGACAGGCCAATCCTATGGTTAAGCAAGTGGCAACAGCTTGGGTGGGCCTGAAAGTTGGGTGGGGTGGGGCGGGGCCTCAGGGAATCACCAGGGCGGGGCAACCAGTGTGAGCCAGGTTGCTGGAGTCCCAGATATGGTGGCTGTCTGCCGCCCCAGGGAGGGGCTCACCAAAGGAACAAAGGCCTCTGACAGTTTGTCCCGGAGAAAGCCCCCTCTCCAGCCCTCGCTCCAGTGCCCAACAGCGCAGTTCTTTCCTGTATGTCTCTGGTGCCCCTCGAGCTGCCTCCCCTCCAAGCTTAGAGGGAGAGAGTCGATAAGTCCGTGCGCGGGCCCTTTAAGGAGCTGCCTGGGGCTCCAGCCTCCTCAGCCTCCCTGAGCCTCAGTTCCTGCTGGTTTTTCCAACCAGAAGTTATGGGGACTCTCTTCCTGGCACTGGAACCCTGAGCGGCGCACCTGGTGTGGGACGGGGACCCCTCAGTCTTCAGGGAGGACCTTCCCAGCCAAGGTGTCCTCCTGATATTTATCCGCCACACGTGGGGGTGGGACCAGCCCGCCGCCGCCTCTCCTACCTGACTGGATGTGGCTGCTGCTTTAATTCCGTAGTTGTAGGACTTCCATTCAGCTTGATTTTAGGCGGTTTTGAATGATGGTTGTTCTGTAGTTTAGTTGTAACTTTGATGTGGTTGTGGGAGGACGCGATACCGCGTTTACCTACGCCGCCATCTTGACCGGAAGTCCCATTTCTATTTAAATCACTGTTATTTTGAGTTTCCGGTACGTTAGCCAAACTTTTTTTTTTTCCCACTTGAAAAAATTATGCTGCTTTATTCCAGAACAAAAGTAAAAAATATTATCAAAATTTCACTCAAAGTGACACCATTAAGCCATAAAATAAATTCATTTGTTAGTCAGATTTAACTTCATACTCAAGATTTCACATGTCAAGCATTGCCACTAAAAAAAAACATTGTTTGAAATCTTTGCTCACACTCTTTCCCAATTCTGAAAAGTTCTATTGTTTTAGGATCTGCCATTCTTAGGACAGATTGTGATCTGACACTTTTAATTACAATGAGATGAAATTTCGGGATACAGAAGTCCAAGATTTGTTAAAGATCTTTCTCCCTGACCTTTATTCCTTCTATCTCACAACCTTCAAATAACATGGACATGAATGTAGTTGCGCACTCCACTTTGAGCCACCTGCCTCAAGGTGGAAAACGTCAGTTGTCTAGAGTCAAGGGCATTCATTTCATGTAATGGAAGATGTCAAAGTTGAGTGCCTACCATTTATGGCCAAAATTTTTGGGAGAGCAGAGTGAGTGGAACGACCTCTGTTTGTTTCTTTCTAAAGTTTTAAGTTCACAGCAAAATAAGGGGAAGTTACAGAGATTTCCCATACGCCCTCTGTCCCCACACGTGAGTAATCTCCCCCCTTATTGACATCTCCCACCAATTTGTTACAATTGCTGAACCTACACTTACACATCACAATCACCCAAAGTCCATGGCTTATGTTACAGTTTACTCAGTTCTGCACATTCTGTGGATTTGGACAAATGTATAATGATATGTATCCATCATTATAATATCATACAGAGTATTTTCACTGCCTTAAACTATCTTCTGTGCTTGACCTATTCATCCCTCTCTCCCTAACCCCTGGCAACCACTGATATTTTTACTGTCTCCATAGTTTCACCTTTTCTAGAATGTCATATGTTTGGAATCATACAGTCTGCAACACCTGTTCAGATTGCCTTTTTCACTCAGTCATATGCAGTTTAAGTTCCTCCGTGTCTTTTTATGGCTTGATATATAGCTCATTTCTTTGAATAACATTCCATTGTCAGGCATATAGTACAGTTTATTTATCCATTCATCTACTGAAGGACATCTTTGTTGCTTCTACGTTTTGGCAATTATGAATAAAACTACTATAAACACCTGTGTGCAGGTTTTGTGTGAACATAAGGTTCCAACTCGACTGAATAAATGCCAGGCAACATGATGGTTAGAGTGCATGGTAAGAGTGTGATTTATTTTGTAAGTAACTGCCAAACCGTCTTCCGAAGTGGCTGTACCATTTTACTTTCTCACCAGCAGTGAACGAGGGTTCCTGTTGCCCCACACCCTCGCTAGCGTTTGTTGTTGTCAGTCTCTTGGATGTTGGCCATTCAAATGGGTATGCAGTGGTATGTTATTGTTTTATTATAAAAATTTTTTTCCTTAATTGATTTTAGAGAGAGAAGAAGTGAGAGGGAGAGAGAGATAAAACATTGATGAGAAAGAACATCAATTGGCCGCCTCCTGCATGCCCCCCACTGGGGATCAGGCCTACAACCTGGGCATGTGTCCTGACCAGAAATCAAACCAGCGACCTCTTGGTGCATGGGTCGATGCCCAACCACTGAGCAACACCGGCAGACTGTTTTTGTTTTAATTTATGTTTCTCTGATGATAGATGATGTGGAGCATCTTTTTGTATGTTTATTTGCCATCTGTATATCTCTTTGGTGAGGTCTTATTTATTTGCTCTGTAGCCAGAAACATTTGCCTTGAGTAAACCTCCTGATGTCCCCAAGCCTTGACTCTCACATCTGGAATGAGAATAACAGTGTCCACCTCACGGAGTGTTTGTGAAAGTTGAAAGTATGTGCAGCAGCGCGACCGACTGAGAAAGAGCCTAGACATTTTTATTTTTTTTTATTTACTTTGGCAGCTGTAGACTCAAAGGAACAGCAAAAGGTAATGTTCCCTGGCTAGGCAAAGCAGACAAGCCTTTGCTCTCCTTACCCCAAGAAAAATGAAGCAGGTTCTGCACGTGCTGTTCTGGAACACAGGCCTTGTACCCATTTACTGCTGCAGCTAACAAGCAATCATAGACAATTCAGTGGCATCTGATAGTAAACGCATATCTGTAGGTGAACACAGGTCTGGCTGACTTTGGTTGGACTCAGCTGGGTTTCGTTCCCGGCTGTGGGGTTGGTCCCACACATCTGTCCTCTTTGGACCAGCGGGGCAGCTGGAGTATGTCTTTTGCGTGGCAATGGCAGAAATGCAAGAGAGCAAGGCCAGCTATGCATGTACATTTCAAGACTTTGTTTATATCCTGTCCACTCACATCCATTGGCCACAGAAGTTTTGGCTAAGACCACATCAATGGGTTAAGGCATATGCTACGCCTACTATGCAGCCATGTGGTGGGATGGATGAAGACTACAGCAGACTGAAGGATTGGGGCCAAAAGGTTGCATAGACCTAGAGCTGGGGGGTCTCTGGACCAGCAAGCCTTGTGTTAGCGTTGGAGGAGGAAGCCATGGGATGAACCCATTGTGTTTGGTTAAAAGAAGAAATGCCCCGAGGTTAGGAGTGACACGGGCTGCAAAGAGGACAGAGGGATAGAGACCTCAGTTCTCTGGGGCCAGGATTTCAGGATAGAATACCAGGAGACATTTGCTTTGGGCCACTGAGGCCTGGGAATCTGTCCGATTCAGGGTTTCACGTCCTTTTTAACCAGCGCATGTGGTTTGCCCACAGGATAGAGAGGTTGATTTGCCATGGCTGGGCTCCCCACCACTACAGATAGGCAGGGGCTGAGCTGAAGTATATTTGTGTTACAAAACAAAGAAATGTGCTGTCATTTGTATCCAGGATTGTTTGGAGCAATTAATATCTGTCCCATGTGTCAAGTGCTTGGCACATAGTAGGCCCTCAATAAAATGGGCTCCAGTATTATAACAGTACCTCGGCCATGCTGCAGTCTTTCCTTTTCTGCTTCTGAGGGTGTCCCAGATGTTAGGGCCCTGTGTTCCCTACAACTAAGGCCTGTTTCTGATGGGGGTTCATCTCAAAGTATCCAGGTGGCATTGGGGTACTGAGAAACTCCCAAAGGGCTTGGAGAATCAAAACCTTGGTCTGGGTGCCCTGGAAAGCTCCCCTACCTAGGCCGGGTTTGCCTCCTTCCCAGCTGTCAGGAGGAGCAGTGTGCAGAAAGCTCCCTTCCACTCTCAGGCTCCCTAAAAGGGTCAAGCAGCCCCAAAGAGAGGGGTGAACAGAACGCTCCACTTCCCACTTTGCCTGAGAGAAGGTTCTGGTGTGGCCCCAGATTCCACTTTCGCTTGCTCATGTCCCTCGGTGCCCAGCTTCCCCAGGAACCGTGCCTCGCCAAAGAGGTCTTTCCTGCGCTGGTGTTGCATAAGGCCCGCAGCTGCCTCCCTGAGCACCCTCCAGGCCAGGCAGTAGGGCTGAGGCTTCGGGAAAAGAGGAAGCTGCCCCGAGGCTGGATCTCCTCTTGGGCCGCAGAGCCCCGGGGAGTCGGCAGCACTTGAGCTCCTGGCCTTCCTTCCTGTTCTGCTTGTGCTTCACCAGCCCCTTTCCCGCGCAGCAGGTGCGTCCACCCCTGGGGGCGGGGGGCACAGCGGGGGGGGGGGTGTATTGGGAATGGGGCCCGGCTGAGGTTGGTTGGTGGTCATCTGGGTGTGGAACCTGGATGCCAAATCAATCCAAGTCCAAGACACTAATCAAAGCTGCACTCATGCCCTGGCCGGTTTGGCTCAGGGGTTAGATCATGGGCCCGTGGACCAAAGTGTCTTGGGTTTGATTCTGGTCAAGGGCACGTACCTCGGTTGCAGTTAGTCCCCAGCCCTTTTCAGGGTCGTGCAGGAAGCAACCAGTTGATGTGTCCCTCTCACCTCAATGTTTTTTCTCTCTCCCTGTCTCCCCCTTCCTCCCACTCTATTTGAAGATAAATAGATCTGGGGGTGAGGATTAAAAAAAGAAAAAGCTGGGCTACTAACCTAGACCCCTTCACAGTTCCAAATCTCCCCTAACCCACATCCCAATCCCAATCCCAATCCCCACCACCATCCTGCCCAGCCTGGTCCCTGCCCCAGCCTTACCTCGCCCTCAGTTGCATCCCAACCCAACCATTTACTAATCGTGCTCTCCCTCCAGCCACAACCTCAGCCCTTACCCGCACCCAACCCCATCACTCTCAGCTCCATGTCAATCCCAATCCCATTCCAAATCGCAGCCCAGCAGCACCTTCACCCCAGCCCAACTGCAGCTCTCCCCCCGTCTCCCCTCACTCTGAGCCCAGTCCCACTCCACGTCATTCATTCGTCTGAGTGCAGGGCCCCGGCACCCATGAGCAAAGCTGGGGTAATGGATGCTCAGGCTGTGGGCACATCTAGCCAGATTAAACTGTGAAATTTCTACTGCCCATTTCGAAGCCAGTAGGCCTCACTTATGGATTAGATGGCTTCCAGAGCCAAATGTTTGGGGCTTTCCACTATTATAAATTGTACTCTTAGAATTGCCCAGCTGTACCCTGACCTCCCATGAGTGGGCAGAGCACTCCAGCTGGCGGTGTCATCCCATTTCCCTCCTTCTCCAGCCTGATAGGGAAGTTGGGGGGAAGCCCTGGTGTTGGGAAACAGAAACTGAATCCTGAAAGCTGCCCACAGTGGAACTGCTCTGACCTTTCCTCCCCAGGCTGAACCTGGCTTCTGGGATCAGAGGTCAGGGACTCAGGCCCCAGGCCGCCCCCCCCAAGCTGTGCCGGGGCACGTGATCTCACACTGCCTGACCTACTCGCCAGCTCTCGCGCAGGCAGCGACATGGGTGCCCACCACGGGCCAGGCCACCCATCCCAAGCCTGATGCAACCTGCACCATTTCTGGGTAGGAATGAGGATTTAAAACTATCTCCAGAGCACCCGAGATTTGGGGATACAAGGATGAACCTCAGGAACTTCCTGAGATCTGGGGAGCAATGCTCTTTCTGGGGTCCTCCTTGCCCTTCCTTTTTCTAGGAAAGTTCTCTGGGCTGAAGCTGTTTTTTTTGTTTGTTTGTTTTTTTATCCTCATCCGAGGACATTTTTCCATTTTTTGTACAGACAGAGTGGGAGGGAGAGAGAGGGAAACATCGATATGAAAGGGACACATCGAGTGGCTGCCACCCGCACGACCAACCAGGGCCGGGGACAAACTGCAACGGGGGTACATGCCCTTAGCGGGAACCGAACCTGGGTCTCTCAGGACCATAGGCGGACGCTCTAACCGCTGAGCCAAACCGGCCAGGGCTGAAGCTGTTTTTTATTTCTCTTTATTGATGTTAGAGAGAGAGAGGGAGGGAGACGGAGAGAGAGAGAGAAACATCGATGAAAGAGAACATCAATCCGCCTCCTTCTGCACGCCCCCCACTGGGGATCAGGCCCACAACCCAGGCATTTGTCCTGACCGGGAATCGAACCAGCAACCTCTTGGCGTATGGGTCGATACTCAACCACTGAGCCACACCGGCTGGGCGTGAGGCTGGTTTTTAGACTGAGTGGTTAAGTTAGACTCCGGTGGGACCAACCCCTTGGGTACTGTGGCTAGGCTAATTGTAGGTGACATCTACGTGATATAATTTTGTAAGTTCTAAAAAGAATCCTCTCAAATGTTCTGAGAGTCCCTGTTCCATTCTGGGATCAGTATGTCTAAAATCCCACCATTCCTCCGCCATTAGGTTCAGCATTGCCCTTTCCAGGGCCCCAAATGGGAATAGCAGGGGGAGCTGGGGATATCAGCAAGACAACACACATGTTGTCTTGCTGATGTCCTAGCTCTAGAGGATCTGACCCTGATACCCAGTGTGGCTGTGGGCTCCAGGGCCATACCTGCCCCCAACCACGCACAGTGGGCTACCTTTTAGCCCAGCATCCAGGTCACGGGGCCAATCCGAACCAGCATGAACCTTTCCTATGGCCAAAGACCAGGTGTGGAGAGTGTGGGTATACTCTCCTGGAACAGGGGCCAGCCTAGGATTGTCCAAAGAACTGGCGATGAGCCTTTGGGTCTCAGAAAATGACCAGAACTGTCTGCTGGAGCAGCCCAAGCCAGGGTCTGGGTTTTCCGAAGAGTAGTGCTCTTCTGGGCCTTCCCTGCCTTTGCTTTGATGTGCTCCCTGCAAGGACATCCCTCCTCCTCTCACACTTGGCTAAGTTCTGTTTTGTCATCCTGACCGGCAGTTCCAGCTTCACCCAGGCCCTGGGTGTCAGCTCAGTCCTCCCCAGGTGTGCCCCCTGGTAGCCACCAGAATCAGCTGGGCTGAGCTCTGGAGGCTGGGAGTTGTCATGAGTTTCCTGTCCCTACTTCCAGCCTCCCCAGGCCTTTGCCCTCACTCTGCAGAGTCAGCATGCAGAACCAGAGAGGACTGCAGAGTTGGCAACATGAGCTTTTGTATGTGTGTGTGGTAAAATGTGCATAACATAAAATTTACTATTTTAACCATTTTAAGTATAAATTCAGTGGCATTCGTTTATTTACAGTATTGCTTAACCATCACCACTATCTATTTCCAGAAATTTTTCATCATCCAAAACATAAACTCTGTACCCACGACACATTAACTCCCCTCTCTCTCCTCCTTCTAGCCCCTGAAAGCCTCTATTCGACCTTCTGTCTCTATGACTTTGCCTATTTTAGGGTATCCCTTTCAGTGGAACCTTACAACATTTGCCATTTTGGTCTGGCTGACTTCACTTAGCACAATTCAGTAAAACCTCAATATAATGGACTAATCCAGGTAAGGGGGATCCGATAAAGCCGAAAATCCATAATATAATAAAGTAGACTTTCCGGATGCGTATGTTAAAAAATTGACAAATTAGTTTACCTGTGTAGACACATTTGTGTAATTAAAATTAAGTATGTATGAAAAGTTTAATTTCACAGAAAAGTTTTTCTAATATATATATTTTTATGGATTTTTTAGAGAGAGAGGAAGGGAATGAGAGACAAACATTGATCTGAGAGCGATACATCGATTGGCTGCCTCCTGCAAGCCCCCTACCAGGGATCCAGCCGTAAACCCAGGCATGTGCCCTGATCAGGAATCGAACTGGGACCTCTCAGTCCATAGGACGATGCTCAACCCACTGAGTCACACCAGCGTAGCCAGAGACATTTTCTATATGAATTACCGTAATATTAAATTTATACTGAATAAGTTTAGTAAATGCACGCATTCACCAGTCACGGAAGTAAACAAATGCACACGGCTGGGGCGTGACTTAGTACTCATGGGAAGATCGACCACAAGCATTCAAACTGCTGCAGAAAGTCGCGCCAAGTGACAACAGAACCAATTACTGAGAGCTCTGCTGTGTGATCACTTGCTAATCATTCGCGGAACATTGTTTCCCAGCTATGTGGACTATAGTTGTAGATATGTAATATGTATGTCAGCAAAATTACTACAGTGTTTTTTCCAACATATGACCCATTCGCTAAAATTTGTTAAAAATAACAGTGAGTTAATAACAAAAAATAACCTGTTAATTTCATTATAAGCAAATCGTGATTAAAAGCATTTTAAAATTAACAGGGTGTTCATTTGCACGTATGACATACAGACCAGAAATTTTGTCTATTAAATCCGAAGTCCGTAAATTGAGGTCCACAACATCCAGGGATTACTGTGTGTTCAAGGTTTGCCCTTGTAACATGTCAGAATTCCATTCTCTCTTACGGCTGAATAATGTTCTATTGTATGGCTATGCCTTTTAAAAAATCTACTTATCTGTTGATGGATACTTGGGTTGTTTTCGCTTTTTGGCTACTGTGAATAACACTGCTAGGAACCTGGGTGTACAAAGTGAGTTCTTGTTTTTATTCCACCCAGGAGTGGAGTTGCTGGATCATATGGTAATTCACGTCTGACTTTTTGAGGACCCAGCCAACAGTTTTCCACAGGGGCTGCACTATTTTACATTCCCACCAGCGTGCACTAAGCTTCTAATTTCTCCATATCCTCTCCAAGATTTGTTACTTTCTGACTTTGTTTGTTTGTTAATAGCCATTGTGATGGGTGTGAAGTGGTAGCTTATTGTCATTTTTAAAAAATCCTCACCTGAGGATATGTTCTTTTTATTTTATTTATTTATTTTTTAGAGAGAGAGCAGAAGGGAAAGAAAAAGAGAGAAAGAAACATTCACATGAGAGAGAAACATCGATCGGTTGCCTCTTTATGTGTTCTTACCAAGGCTTGAACCGGAAACTTAGGTGTGTGCTCTGACTGGGAATCAAACCCACAACCTTTTGGTGTATGGGACGAAACTCCAACCAACTGAGCCACCTGGCCAGGGTCATTGTGGTTTTGATCGGCATTTCCCTTATGGCTAATATAGTTGAGCATCTTCTCATGGGCTTATTGGCCATTTTACATCATCTTTGATGTAAAGACTATTCAAGTCTTTAGCTCATTTTTTGAATTTGGGTTGTTTGGAGTTTATTGTTGAGTTGTAGGATTTCTTCCATTTTTTAAAAATCCTCACCCGAGGATATTTTTTTTTATATTAATCTTCAGATAGAGCTGGAGGGAGAGAGGGAGGAAAATGGAAAAGAGAGAGAGAGAGAGAGAGAGAGAGAGAGAGAGAGAAACTCGATGTGAGAGACACATCGATTGATTGCCACCCGCACAACCCCAACCAGGGCAGAGGACAAACCACAACCAAGGTACACACCCTTGGCTGGAATCGAACCCCAACCAGGGCAGGGGACAAACCACAACCAAGGTACACACCCTTGGCTGAATCGAACCCAGAACTTTTGGTCCGTGGGCAATGCTCTTACCGCTGAGCCATACTGGCCAGGGATAGGATTTCTTTATATATGCCAGATATTAATCCCTTATGTATGATACCAATCCCATGATTTGTAAATATTTTCTCACATTCTGTGGGGTTTTTTACTCTCTTAATAGTGTCTTTTGATTCACGAAAGTTATTTTGATCAAGTTCAATTTATCTGTTTTTTCTTCTGTTGCTTGTACTTTTGGTGTCATATTTAACAAATCACTGTGTGATCCTAGGTCATGAATGGTTTCATCCATGTTTTCTTCTAACAGTTTTATACTTGTAGTTATATGTGTTTCTGCCCTCTTTCCCCTTCTGACTTATATCTGTGACACCTCTTAGATCCCCCATCCTCACCAGGGGCACCCCATGGCAGAGGGTCCATCCACTTTCTTACACATGATATACTGTAGGCCTCCGTGAACTCATGTTTGTGGGGTGTGTGTTGTGCGGGGCCCTCGTGCCCCCTGTTGCACCTAAACTTGCCCTGTTACCAACTCTAAATCTCCAAGGACTACATCTCTCTCTGCCTACCGCTGCCAAGTTGGGGGCCTCTGCAGTGCTGCAGGGCCCAGGTCCCCAGTGCCAGGCGCTCACAAGATGCCAAGGACAAGGCCAGCACAGAGATGGCTCTAGGTGGCTCCAGGAACCCTAAAGGGGAAGTTTCAGCTAAAAGCTGCCTTCAAGCTACACCTCGAAGACTGAATAAAGTTTCAACAAGCAAAGATCATTTGTGGTGGGGACACAGGGAGTCAGCTGGAGAGCCCGTGGGCAGATGGAATGGCTCTAGGGTGGGTATGTGGAGAGCAGGGGATGAGGCAGAGCTGGGAGTAAGAAATGAGGACCTTTTAGGGATGTGCTGGGCCTACATCTCACAGGCAATGGGGAGCCACCGAAGGTGTTTGAGCAAGGGAGTGGCCCCTAAAGATAGCACTTTGGTAAGTGCTCAGTCAAGGTCCATATGGCTTATAGCTTGTAAGACTAGAGGTAGGGAGCTGAGTCTTAAATAAGAAACCATTATTCTTGCTGAGTGCCTTGGAGCAGGTCACCGGGCCTCTCTGGGTTCCAGTTCCTGTTGGTTTGGGTGGAAGGGAGAGGCAGGGAGGGGTAGGAAAGTGGAGGGAAAGGGAGAAACAGCTGTTCATCTGCTCTGGGGTAGTGTCTTTGAGGGGCTGGGAAAGCAGAACTTGGGGTATTCTAGTGCATTCCACCAAGTGAGGGCATTCCTGGGTAAAGCTGAAGCCGTGAACGTGGGCTCCTGGTTCCTAGCTGGGGCTGCCCCAGAGGTCCTTGGCAGCTCCGCCTTCTCACTGGGCTGGCCAGCATGGCATGTGGGGACACAGGGCTGAACTCTCGGCAGGCTCTGAGCTGAGGTGCCCTGAGGTTCCTTAGGAGGCTCCTGCGTGCCCAATCAACACAGCCCGAGCCACTCTCTTCTGCACCGGAACTGGCACCGCTATGGGCTACCTGCTTCCGCTTCTCCACCTGGCCGCGTCCATCTCAACAGGTGAGTTTCGCTGGCTGTGCTCATCTCACAGGGCCTGGCCTCCGTGAGCCCAGCCCTGGCCGGCCTGGCAGACCGGACTGTGCCTGGTCACAAGTCTGGCTGCTGAGGTTGAAGGACAGGCACAGGGAGGCAGTGGCAGGGAACAATGACCTTCCCTGGGGCATGCTGAGGGGCTGTATTGCTGGGGGTAGGGCAGGGTTTGGGGGTCCATCTGGGGTACCTTTGATAGGGCAGGTGGCAGGGCTCTGTGGTAACCCTAGACCTGCAACGCTCTCCTGTCTGTCTGCCCCTCCCTCAGTCCTTGCCTCATGGGGTATCTCCAGTCCTGAGACTGTGCAGGGCGTGAAGGGGTCCTGCCTCATCATCCCCTGCATCTTCAGTTTCCCTGACAACGTGAAGGTGCCCCAAGGCATTACCACCATCTGGTACTATGTCTACTCGGGAAATCAGCAGGTGGTTCACCACTCGTCCGAGCCCCAGCTGGTGGACGCGCGCTTCCAAGGCCGTACCCAGCTGCTGGGGAACACTGAGCACAGGGTGTGCAACCTGATGCTGAAGGACCTGCGCCCCCAGGACTCGGGCAATTACAGATTTCGCTTCGAGATCAGTGATAGCAACCGCTGGGGGGATGTCAGAGGCACAACGGTCACTGTGACAGGTGAGGAGTGGAGTGGCCTGGCTACTGCCTGGAAGGGACTCCCAAGCTGCTTCTGGCCTCATGACTCACAGCCCCAACCCTTGCCCTAAACCCAACCCCAGCCCCAGCGCAGTCCCAGCTCTGTGTCCTCCATGCATTCACCCCAAGTGAGAGTGGGGTAGAAAGTAATCTCTCCTTCCCCTTGAAGTCCCCTGCCCTGCCCAGGGCTTGCCCCTCAGCTGGAGTTTGCAAGGCGGGGGGTCTCAAGTGTGGTGAAGAGGAGTCCTGAGCCTCCTGTCTTTGTCCCCAGAGAAGCCCAATGTGCCCACCATCGCCTCACCATTGGAGCTTCGCGAGGGCATGGAGGCGGACTTCAACTGCTCCACTCCCTACGCGTGCCTGCAGGAGCCCGTCCACCTGCAGTGGCAAGGCCAGGACCCCGCTCGCTCAGTCACCTCCCACCACGAGAAGCTCGATCTCACAGGCATCAGCAACCAGGAGACCCTCCATATGGCCCTGTCCTGGCAGGACCACGGTCGGACCCTGAGCTGCGAGCTCTCGGTGGCCAAACACAAGACAAAGGGCGAGATTTTCCTCCAAGTGCAGTGTGAGTGCCCGGGGGTGCACCTTCCTTACCGAGCACACATCTGTGGCTCCCAGTGGAAACCGGTTCCTTTCTTAGCCCATAGAAACAGGGCCCTCGCCCCTGAGGCAAAGCTGGGTGCACTCCGACCTCCTGGGAGAGGACTAAGCACTATGAGCCACACTGAATGGCTCCCTTTCACCTCTTGTCCCTGAGGCCAGGCTGGGCACAGAAGGGGGGACAAAGAGCCAGAGCCTTGGGGTTCAAGCTGCAAGGACCCTGAGATCTAGCCCAGCTCTGGAGGATGCTGGGGGTGGGCGTCAACCCTTTACTGCCTAAGCTGCTCACATTCGTGGTGATCAGGGTGTCCCCCGGACATGACAAAGAAGCTGTGGGAGAAAGCTGGAGTTTCCACTCGACTGAGCATCTTCTCATCACAGTAAAACAGGGCAGCCCCTTCTAGAACCTCTGCTGCTCACAGACATCAGATGCTGACGTCACCATCCACTAACCGAGCAGGCTTTGGGCAAGTTACTTGCCTCTCACTGCCTCTGTTTTCCATCTGTGTCGGGGAGGTAACAAGGTTCCTGTTTCAGAATTGTTATGAAACCCTGGCTGGTTTGGCTCAGTGGTTAGAGCATCAGCTCACAGACCGAAGGGTCATGGGTTCGATTCTAGTTCAGGGCATGTACCTAAATTGCAGGTTTGATCCCCGGCCCTGGTCAAGGTCGTGCGGTAGGCAACCAATTCATGTGTCTCTCTCACATTGATGTTTTTCTCTCTGTCTCTTTTTCTCTTGCTCTCTCTCTCCCTCCCGCCTTTCTACTCTGTCTAAAAAGTGAATAGAAAAATGTCCTCGGGCTAGGAATAACAAAAAAAAAAAAAAAAAGAATTGTTATGAAAATTAGAGCACATGCTAACCAGTCATAAATATTACCTTCTACTATTTTCATATCTCTGTAGATTAAGTACTTGAAAATGTGAGCTTTTATTTATTTATTTAAAAAAAATTTTTTTCTTTATTGATTTTTTTAGAGAGAGAAGAAATGAGAGGGAGAGAGAGATAGAAACATCAATGAGAGAGAACGTCGATTGGCCGCCTCCTGCATACCCCACACTGGGGATTTGGCTCACAGCCTGGGCACGTGCCCTGACCGTGAATCGAACCGGCGACCTCTTGGTGCATGGGTCAATGCTCAACCACTGAGCCACACCAATAGGAAGAAAATGTGAGTTTTTATTAGCACATTTACATAGCAAGAGCTTTGGAATAAGATTTAAAGAAATGCAGTTTCTTTGTATTGTTGATATCCTCCTTACAAATGGGTTAACCATTCTCAGAGCTAATTTAACTCTGCCTTTGGCCTCCCCGTCAGCAGCTTGGTCCCTTACCAACAGCTATCACAGGCCACCAAAGCAGTGTGGCACCCATGACCCCCACAGAGAACAGAGGACAAGGACAGTGTCATGAGGCAGAAGGCCCCCGGAGGCAGTGTGGGCTGCACGCTGGGCCGAGCACTCCAAGCACTGCACTGGCAGACTCCGGGTGGAGAGCAGGGGGCCGGGAGCCAGGTGGGGCGGTGCAGCCCTGGACAGGAGAACCAAGGGGACTGACGATTCATCTTGGTGGGCTTCCTTAGGGCAGTGTTGAGAGAGGAGACAAGTGTGCCACCCCTGCCCACCAAAAGCACCTTGCCTGACACCCTCATCGGGCCTTGCAGATGCCCCCAAAGGTGTGGAGATCCTCCTCAGCCCTTCGGAGGGGAACATCCGTCCAGGAGATCTGGTCACCCTCACCTGCCAGGTGAACAGCAGCTACCCCAAGGTCAGTTCTGTGCAGTGGGTCAAGGACGGGACGCCCCTCAAAGCCCAGAGCCGCATGCTGCAGTTGTCCCACGTAGCCTGGGACGATGCCGGAGTCTACACCTGCCGAGCTGAGAACAACGTGGGCTCCGTGGGCTCACCCCCCTTCAGCCTCCACGTCTTCAGTGAGTCCTGGGTGAACCCGGGTCTTGATCAGAGGGTGGGGAAGGGGTCTAGGCCACAGGGCTGAGGGGAGCCAGGTCAAGGTGCCTCCTGGGACAGGGGTGTGGAGTCCCAGCCCTGTCTCAGACAGATGACAAACCCCCCGGGCAGGGTGGGGTGTGGAGGAACCGGTGAACAACACAGAGGTGCAGCAGACTCCCCTGCAGAAGGGGTGTGATGTAGACTGTGCACAGATTAGGCTGAGTGGCTGCAACCCCAAGACTCTGAGGAGTTGGGCCTGCAAGTCGGCTGGGTACCTCCAGTGAGCCCGATGCTGCCCCCACAGTGGCTGAGGTGCAGGTGAGCCCAGCAGGCCCCATCCAGGAAAACCAGACAGTGACGCTGGCCTGCAACGTGCCTAAAGAAGCACCCAGCGAGCTGCAGTACAGCTGGTACAAGAACCATGCCCTGCTGGAGGATGCCCACAGCCGTACCCTCCAGCTGCACTCGGCTACCAGGGCCGACACTGGCTTCTACTTCTGTGAGGTGCAGAACGCCCAGGGCAAGGAGCGCTCTGGGCCTGTCAGCGTGGTGGTCATCCGTAAGTGACCAGTGTGGGATGGGCACTGCTGGAGTGGGGCCAGAGGGTGGAGCCCCTGCAAGAGGGTTAGGGTCCTGGGCCTGGGTGACCTTGAACTCTGCACACCCGGGCACGGCATTGACTTCCCCAGGCCTCAGTGTCCTCCAATTTTAAAAACTTTATTTTGGCCCAGCTGGAGTGGCTCACTAGTTGAGCGTCGACCCATGCACTAAGAGGTCACTGGATCGGTCAGGGCACATGCCCAGGTTGTGGGCCCAATCCCCAGTGGGAGCATGCAGGAGGTGGCCAGTCGATCTTCTCTCTCATTGATGTTTCTATCTCTACCCCCTCCTTCCTCTCTCTCTAAAATCAATAAAGAAAAAAGCTATTTTAAAAAACCTTTTTTGTTTTTTTATCCTCACCTGAGGACATTTTTGCATTTATCTTCAGATAGAGCAGGAGGGAGAGAGGGAGGAAGAGAGAGAAAGAGAGAGAGAAAAACATCGACGTGAGAGAGACACATCGAGTGGTTGCCACGCACATGACCCACCCAGGGCCGGGGACAAACTGCAACCGAGGTACATGCCCTTAGCGGGAACCAAACCCAGGTCTCTCTGGACCGCAGGCTGACGCTCTAACTGCTGAGCCAAACTAGCCAGGGCTTTATTTTTATTTTTATTTTTTTTATTTATTTTTTTTATCCTCACCCCAGGACACTTTTTCATTCTTTGTTCAGATAGAGCAGGAGGGAGAGAGAGAGAGAAACATCGATGTGAAAGGGACACATCGAGTGGCTGCCACCCGCACGACCAACCAGGGCCGGGGACAAACTGCAACCGAGGTACATGCCCTTAGCGGGAACCGAACCCGGGTCTCTCCGGACCGCAGGCCAACGCTCTAACCGCTGAGCCAAACCGGCCAGGGCGATTTTTAAAGTGTTTTTTCTTTATGCATTTTAGAGAGAGAGCAAGGGAGAGGGAGAGAGAGATAGAAACATCAATGAGACAGAAGATCGATTGGCCGCCTCCTGCAGGCCCCTCACTGGGGATGTGGCCCATAGCTTGGGCATGGAATTGAACTGGCGACCTCTTGGTGCATGGGTCAACGCTCAGCCACTGAGCCACACTGGAGCCGGGCCAGTTTCCTCATCTTTAAAGTAGGGTCCCTGATCCCACTCTCAGGGGTGCCCCCAGGATTGACTGAAGTTATTTGCCCAACCCAGGGACAAAGGTGTATTCAGCAGGCATTCAGGAACTGCTGGGGTCACCCTCCATCTCCCAGGGCATTATGGGACAAAGGGGGTGCAGGGGTCATCGACTACAAAGGGGCATCCAGGGAGTGCCCCGTCTGAGGGTGACAGGCCCTTCTCCACACAGACCCGCCCCTCGCCCCCGACCTAACTGCCTTCCTGGAGATGCAGGCAGGGCTGGTGGGCATCCTCTACTGCTCCGTGGTCAGCGAGCCCATGGCCACCCTGGTGCTGTCACATGGGGGACTTGTCTTGGCCTCCACCTCCGGCAAGGATCACCACAGCCCACGCTTCAGTGTCTCCTCTGCCCCCAACTTTCTGAGCCTGGTGATCCGAGACTTGGAGCTGGCGGACAGTGGGGAATACATATGCACAGCCACCAACTCCTACGGGAATGCGTCCTCCTCCCTGGACTTCCAAGCCAATGGTAAGATGGCCACGGGGGCTGGTGGAGGGAGACCAGGAGGAGGCCTGCTCTGGCCTCTTCCCCCTAGGAGTCCGGAGGGCTCAACCGAGGGGCTGAACTAGCTGGCTGGTAAAAATCATACCAAGACCCTGGGCTATACAGTCATATCCCAACGTGGGAGGTTCATGGAAGTCAAGGCAGAAAGGGGAACACGACAGGTTGTATAATTCCTTTAGTATACGTTCTGACTCGGAACTTGTAAGGTCCTGCATATGCATTCATTTGTCTCTTATTTATCAGACGTTTGGGGCAGCTTCGGTGCTAGGAAGGAGTCGGATGCAGTAGGCACTGCAGAGCAGGGTCTCCCAGCTCTTGGTATATGGCCTCATTCTGAGGCCATGACAACGCGGCTAATTGATCAAGCCAGGTTTTGACATCAGCCTGGGTTCCAGCTCAGAATCCTCAACCATGCTGCAGCCAGTTACTATCAGTAGATCAGAATGGGCCTTCAAGGCCAAACTCCTGATCGTCAAGAGATTCATAGAGCAGATGGCACGAAGTCCAGACCTACCTACAATTGTGTGTGGGATCCTGGAGGGCTTCCTGCGGTGGGTGGCACGGAGCCACAGATGTGCCAGGGCGCTGACCCTCCCTGTCTCCTTCTGCCAGCCGCCCGCCTCCTCATCAGCCCAGCAGCAGAGGTGGTGGAAGGGCAGGCGGTGACCCTGAGCTGCAGGAGCGGCCTGAGCCCAACGCCTGACCTGCGTTTCTCCTGGTACCTGAACGGAGCCCTGCTCCTCGAGGGGCCCAGCAGCAGCCTCCAGCTCCCTGCAGCCTCCAGCACCGACGCTGGCTCATACCACTGTCAGGTCCAGGACGGTCACAGCGCCAGCGGGCCCTCCTCGCCTGCCGTCCTCACGGTGCTCTGTGAGCAGCCTCCCCACTCACCCCTGCCTGTCTTGGGGAGGCTTGATCAATCCACTGGGGTCCAGCAGCCATCCCTACCTCCTCTGGGCCCTCCTGACCCTGTCCTGCCCAGGATCTAGATCAGGAGGGCAGCCTCGCCTGGACACCATGGACCTCTCCACTCAGGGCTGAAATTTGGTGAACAAGGCTGAGGATTTTTCTACCTCCCCAGGTCCCACCCTCCAATCCCACATATTTTAGGGCCCTCTGCCCCTAGCCTCACACCCACCATGGGCACCATGTCCAAGCTTCATCCTCCTGAGCTGGGCCCTGGGACACCATACTCCTACATATGTGCACACGCCCCATAGCTTGTGCCCTCACAGGCTCCCAGAGGCATGAAGGCAGAACCTCCCAGCCCAGGAAATGCGTCTTGTCAGCAGTGGATGCTCCATATTAGCCTGAGGGGCTGGCCAGTGTTCAGGGCACACTTAGCTTCCAGAAAACCTCCCTTGACACTAGCAGGAGCGATGTCCTGGGGCTTCCCAAAGAGCAGCCCCCTCTCAGGGGTTTTCCAGTGCCGGTGAGATTACAAGGAGGCCTTGACCGATGGCTGCCCTGGCCATTCATCTCCAGAAGCCCCTGGAAAGAGGGCATTTTAGGCCTTATCTGTGACCCTAAATAGAGCTGGCTTGACGATCAGAGATAAGTGGCAGGGAGGATCTTGGGGGAAGGGATGTGGTGCAGAGAGAGAGCAGAGAGCAAGACTCACAGGGATTGCTATGAGGTGCCCTGCTCAGGAGCACACGGCAGTGACTGCTAGCCCACACGGTGCATCTGTCTGGGCTCAAAATGGTGCTTCTTCTGGGAAGACTCAGTAAGTACTGGGGCGTGGCTCAGCGCGAGGCGCATGGGCTGAACTCCTCCTGCCCTGGTCTGGTTGTCCTAGCGCAGTGCACAGCTCTGTGTGACAGCTCTGGGCTCATGCCTCGTCCAGAGTCTTCTGGGATCCTAGCCAGCCTTGAGTAGACCTATGAGGCCCTGGCAGAGGCTTTGGTCCTCCATGGATGCCCATGTTCTACCTCCCTACAGACGCCCCACGCCAGCCCCGGCTCACTGCCCGGCTGGACTCCGACGCTGCAGGGCTTGGGGTTGGCCGTCGAGGTTTCCTGGAGTGCCGTGTGGACAGTGACCCCCCAGCCCAGCTGCGGCTGCTCCACAGGGACCGTGTAGTAGCCTCTTCCCCGCCATCAGGGGGCGGCTGCAGCTCCTGTGGGGGCTGTTCCCAGCGCACAAAGGTCAACAGAGCCCCTAACCTGCTGCGTGTGGAGATTCGTGACCCGGTGCTGGAGGACGAGGGTGTGTACCTGTGCGAGGCCAGCAACGCTCTGGGCAACGCCTCCTCCTCCGTGACCTTCGATGCCCAGGGTGAGTTGGGGCAGGGAATGGTGGCACAGGGTCAGGGGCCAGTGCTCGGGACCCTATTCCTTTGCAACCCCTGACTCCGAGGAGGGTCTATCCAGGGAAACCACCTCAGTCAGCAGTGGAAGTGTGCTTTCCTCCCCTGGGCGCTCCAGAGGGTCTTCCTGCCTGCTCCGGGATGGGAGGCTGTACCACCGGCCCTGGGCTGGAGGAAGCAGTGAGGCCTATCCCAAGTGGGCCTGTGTTTCCCGCTCTCCAGCCACTGTCCTGGTCATCGCACCATCACACACACTGCCAGAGGGCACCGAAGCCAACCTGACTTGCAATGTTAGCCGGGAAGCCAGTGGTGGCCCTGCCAACTACTCTTGGTTCCGGAATGGGGCACTGTGGGCCCAGGGCCCCCTGGAGACCATGACGCTGCTGCCTGTGGCCAGAACGGATGCTGCCCTCTATGCCTGCCGCATCGTCACCGAGGGTGGTGCCCAGCTCTCCACCCCCGTGGTCCTGAGTGTGCTCTGTGGGTGATGGGCAAGGGCAGCACTGGGCGCTGGAGGGTTGAGGGGGTGGTCTTGGAGGAACCAGGTGGGGGTTAGGGTTGGGGAGACAGGAATGTGGCTTGGCCATGGGAATGGGCGGGCCTGGACCGTGTGGAGGGGGGAGTGGGACACAGTGTGGTGACTGGAATATGGTGAGCTGGGCTGGGGGTGGCCTGAGCTTCTCTCTGTCCCTGCAGATCCTCCAGACCCTCCAAAACTGTCAGCCCTCCTGGATGTGGGCAAGGGCCACATGGCTGTGTTTGTCTGCACTGTGGACAGTAGCCCGATGGCCCAGCTGACCCTGTTCCACGAGGAACGCCTCTTGGCCACCACCCTGGGGCCCCAGCTCCCATCCCATGGCCGCTTCCATGCTAAGGCCACGGCCAACTCCCTGCGGCTAGAGGTCCGAGACCTGGGCCTTGGAGACTCTGGCAGTTACCTCTGTGAGGCCACAAATGACCTTGGATCAGCCAATACCTCCCTCTTCTTCCAGGTCCGAGGTGAGTGTCAGTCGTCTGAAGGTGTGGTAGAACCACATGCCCTGGGGGCCACTCTGGCTAGGCAGAAACGTGAGCTCTTTTCCAGCCACGGGGTCTGGACAGTATCCACCAGCCAAGAGGAGGCTTCCCTTGGCATCTGGCCAGATGTTTTCACCTGTAATAACTGTGGCAGCCACTAGGAGGCAGGGGCAACTGCACAAGGAAGCTTGCTTGGTGGGAGCAATTTCTTACAGATTACTTCTGAAATAATATAATTTTGTTAGATAATAAGTATCTCAAACAAAATCTAATATATATGTATATTATGCATATACATGTGTAATATATGTATACCAATGTGTGGGTATACACACATATACATCTATACACATATACATAAGAATATATTCACATATTCTTCCATAAAAATCCTCCCTATGCGAATGAACCAGGAAACAGGAAAGTTAATGCCCATAATGTTGCAAAGGCCAAAGAAAAACACACAATTTTTCTCCCACGATGACAAACATCAATTTTGAACATTTTCCTTCGGCCTTGGTTCCGTACATCTTTTCTCATGTGTTATACTCAGTTCACAGGGAGAGAAGGTGAGGGCCAGACCTTTAGGGGCTTTCCCAGATCACACGACAAGCACACTAGCTTGGGACTCATTTGGTTCTGTTTCCAGGCACAGCCTACATTCTCATTCACCACGCCAGGTGTCCCTCCATCCCACTCCCCAACCTTGGTCTCATCCTGCCTTAGACCAGGGGGCACTAGGGACTGCCCTTGCTCAGTCTCCAGTTCCTGGGTTCTCATGACCTCGAGCCTGGGTGCAGAGTTGAGCTGGAAAGAAGAGATCATGCAGCTGCTCACTTCTCCTGAGCCCTCAGTCTCCCATGCCGAGTTCAGCTCACGATCAGGACAATGGCCCTTGGCATTCCTCCTGTTTCATTGCTTTATGGGGTCAAACCAACACTGTCAAGAGCTAACATGCGCAGGCACTGTGCCCGGCACTGGGTTGCAGATCGTGCCAGTGGGTCAGGCCCTCGAGAAGCTCACCCTCTGGTAGGCAAGATGTGATTGACAGAGCAAAGCCGAACGTACCTCACGGTGGTGGGTGGTAAATGCCAGGACAGACCCATGCTGGTAGTCGGGGCAACTAAACATGGGGTTGAAGTCGGCAGTGGTCTGGTGGGGGAGCTGGGCTCAGGGACACAGGGTTGGGTCGGGCAGCCTTGACGTGGATGAACACCCCGTCCCAGACTGTGGGAGGATATGGCGGAAGGTCCTCACTTGCTTTGATTTCTTCTGGCAGGAGCCTGGATCCAGGTCTCACCCTCGCCCGAGCTCCAGGAGGGCCAGGCTGTGGTCCTGAGCTGCAAGGTACCCACAGAGGCCCTGGAAGGGACCTCGTACCGCTGGTATCGGGACGGCCAGCCCCTCCAGGAGTTGACCTCGGCCACACTCCACTTTGCAGCCATAACTTTGAGCCAAGCCGGGGCCTATCACTGCCAAGCCCAGGCCCCGGGCTCAGCCTCTGCTAGCCTGGCCGCTCCCGTCAGCCTCCACGTGTCCTGTAAGTGCTTTCGTCCCACATATGATTCCTGGGGTGCGAAGGACCCAAGGGTGTGGCTGGGGGAGGAGATGCTGATCCCCTGGTCTTGGGCTCTGCCTCCACGAGGGACCACCTGGCCAGACCCTGACCACTCCCCACTTTGTGTAGATGCCCCACGCCAGGCCACACTCACCACCCTGATGGACACTGGCCCTGGGCGACTGGGCCTTCTTCTGTGCCGGGTGAACAGCGACCCTTTGGCCCAGCTACGACTGCTCCATGGGGACCGCCTCGTGGCCTCCACCCTACAAGGTGTAGGGGAACTGGCAGGCGGCTCCCCCCGGCTAAAGGTGGCGGTGGCCCCCAACACACTGCGCCTGGAGGTCCACAATGCAGTGCTGGAGGACGAGGGCGTCTACACCTGCGAGGCCACCAATGCCCTGGGCCGGACCTCGGCCTCAGCCCGTTTCGATGCCCAGGGTCAGTGTGGGGGGGTGCGTATGTGCCTGGGCGGCTCCATGAAGAGGCGAGGAGCTTGGAGAAGGCTCTGGAAGCCTGGGCACAGGCAAGAGGGCTGAACAGAAGTACGGTCTCCATTCCCACCCTTCTAAGGGCAGTAGTCTCCAAACTTGGGTTTCATGGAAGAGCCTTTTTAAAAAACAGATATTTACATAGATGCCCAGTGGGTAAAACTAATCAGAAAGGGGGTGCTCAAGGAGAAACCACAGTAGGGCTGGGGTTAGGGAGGGCTCTGCAGACTGCTTGGGATCACCTGACAGCTGATGAGCTGCTCACCACACTCCACCTCTGAGCCCATTTACAGGTGGGCCACCTGTGCCTCCCAGAGGCTGAGGGGCTTCCCTCCCTCCTGGAGACAGGTGGCTTGTTTACACAGCCTCCTGCCCTCACTGGTGTCCCCACGCTCTCCTCTCCCCAGCTGTGAGTGTGCAGGTGTGGCCAAAGGCCACCGTGCAGGAGGGGCAGCCAGTGAACCTGACCTGCCTTGTGTGGACCACCCACCTGGCCCAGCTCACCTACACATGGTACCAGGACGGGCAGCAGCGCCCAGGTGCCCAATCCATCTATCTGCCCAATGTCACGGTCGCGGATGCTGCCTCCTACCACTGCGGTGTGGTGACCCCTGGCCAGGCACCCCGCTTCTCCAGACCTGTCATCCTTGATGTCCTCTGTGAGTGGTTGGCGGCAGGGAGGAATGACAGCAGCCTCCAGGGATCAGGGCATGGCCAGAGCCCCACAGGTGTCCATCCTGGGAACTCAGTACCAGAACTCAGCTGGCCGATGGAGCACTTCACAAGGAGCATTAGAGTGGGGGGCTGTGGAGATAGAACAGCAGTGCCCTAGACTGGGCAAGTGGAAGCCCTTGGGGTGGGGAGCCAGGGCCCCTCCTGCTTTGAATGGCACCTGCAAACTGGCGTCCTCATGGCTGCGGTCTCTGAGTTCCGTCTGTGCCTTTCGTGCTCCTGTAGACCCGCCCCGCAGCCTGCGCCTGACCTCCCTCCTGGAGAACCGTGGTGGGCGGCTGGCCCTGCTCCTGTGCACTGTGGACAGCCACCCACCCGCCCAGCTGGCCCTCAGCCATGCTGGTCGCCTCCTGGCCTCCTTGACCGAAGCCTCTGTGCCCAACACCCTGCGCCTGGAGCTGCGGGAGCCCCGGCCCAGAGATGAGGGTCTCTACAGCTGCTTGGCCCGCAGTCCTCTGGGCCAGGTCAACACGTCTCTGGAATTGCGACTAGAGGGTGAGGCAAGGCCCATGTCGAGGCCACCAAGGGTGGGATCAGCTGTGGTGTCTGGCTGGGCCCAGCTGACCCTGGCCTCCTTGGGACAGGCGTGCAGGTGACTCTGGCTCCGTCGGCCGCTGTCCCAGAGGGCGCCTCCGTCACAGTGACCTGTGAGGACCCTGCTGCCAGCCCACCCACCCTCTATACCTGGTATCACAACAGCCGTTGGCTGCAGGACGGGCCAGCCGCCTCCCTCTCATTCCCGATCGCTACGCGGGCTCACGCGGGTGCCTACTCCTGCCAAGTCCAGGATGCCCAGGGCACACGGAGTTCCCGGCCTGCAGCCCTGCAAGTCCTCTGTGAGCAGGGGTCCTCGGATGGGGCACCCAAGGTGGTGGAGGGCACTTTTGGGCCCCGGTGGGGTGGGCACAGGATTGCAGTGGGCTGGGAATGGGCACTTGGGGAAAGAAAGACATAGATGATGAGGAGAGAGGGCTAGGTCCCTGTGAACCCTGCCTGAAGAAATCCTCCCACAGGACTCCTGAGAAGGTGGTACTTTTAGGAAGTGACTATTTGTCCAGAGGCTTCAGCCTCTCCAGTGCTGGGAGGGTGGACAATGGACAGTATAGGATTTCTAAGCATGACCCCAACTGTGCCCTGCTCCACCCGCAGATGCCCCTCGGGATGCCATTCTGTCCTCCTTCCGGGACTCGAGGACCAGCCCCATGACCGTGGTGCAGTGCACTGTGGACAGCGAGCCACCTGCTGAGCTGGCCCTGTCCCATGATGGCAAGGTACTGGCCACCAGCCAAAGTGTCCATGGCTTGGTATCGGGGACAGGCCCTGTCCAGGTGGCTCGCAATGCCCTGAGGCTACAGGTACAAGGTATGCCCTCAGGTGATGAGAACACCTACATCTGCACGGCCCACAACCTGCTGGGCTCAGTCAGCACCACGGGGCAGCTACAAGCAGAAGGTGAGTGGGCAGTGGGGGAGGAGATGGGGCCCATGTGCTGTGGGGTGGGAGTCCATGTGGAGGGGGCTGGCTGGCCTGAAAGGGTAGACATAACTCTGCCTGATAGAAAAAGAATAGCTCCTACTGGAGGGGTTTGCCCAGCATGAGGTGGAGAAATAATCTCACCCTTGGAGAGCTCCCTATAAGGGCAGAAGTGTAGCAATGCCCAAGAGGAACTTGGGTGCAGGGGAGACATAACCCTACAGAGCCAAGTCCAGGGGTGGTGCACAGGGAAAGCTGGGGTGGGAAGAGGGACAGAGCCCTACCCTCAGAGAGCCCAGTCTGAGAGAAGAGGTACAGCCTCACACCTGGGGAGTCCAATCTGAGGATAGGGAACAGCCTTATCCGTCAGAACATCTGGTTTGATGAGAAAGGTAGGCACAGCCCTGCCCTGGAGGTGCCCAGTGAAAGGAGGAGAGACAGCCCTGTTCTCAGAGATCTCAGTCTGATGGGGGAAGACACAGTCTCACCTTTGGGGCCCAGATCCCAAGTCAGATCAGAACTACCCATAATGCACAGAGGCCTCTCAGATCCCCCTCAGATCCTATCCAGGCCTACAGATCCCCAACCACCTCTTGGTCGTTGGCCTGCAGGTGTGCGTGTGGTGGCTGAGCCAGGCCTGGATGTGCCTGAGGGTGCAGCGCTGAATCTGAGTTGTCACCTTCCTGGTGGCCCCAGTTCCCTGGTCAACTCCACTTTCACTTGGTTCTGGAATGGCCGGCAACTATACGCGGAGCCTGTGCCCATCCTTTCCTTCTCCCACGTGGCCCGTGCCCAAGCTGGAGTGTACCACTGCCGGGCTGAGCTCCCCACTGGGACCACTACCTCTGCTTCAGTCATGCTCCGTGTGCTCTGTGAGTGTGACACAAACGCCCTGCCTCAGTCTCCCCACACCTCACATGCCCACCTCAGGTCTTCTTCCTCTTCTGCCTGCAAAATCAAGGACGTCACAGGTATGGAGTCCTGGCTTGAAGGACTCCCATTGACTTGTTCTGTGATCTTGTGCCTTGGTTTCCTCATCTGTGAACATCAGTGATATCACCTTGTGAGGCGTATAGGAGATAAAGTATGCAGAGTGCCTGGCACACAATAAGCCCGCATCAGCCGTGGTCCTCTACTCCATTTTCCACCAGGGCCTCATGTTGTTTCAGTCAGTTATTGCTGCATAACAAGCCACCCCAAAACCTAGTCCTTAAAACAACAGCCATTTTATTTATTCACAATTCTGTGGGACAGAAATTTGGGCTGGGCTCAGCTGGGCAGTTCTTCTGCTGGTCTCATCGAATGTGGCTGCAGTTGTCTAGTGGCTGGACTGTGGCTACATGGTCTAGGATGGCTTCACCCTCGTGGCTGGTGGTTGGGGCTGGCTCTTGGCTGGGCCACATGTGTCCAACAGGCTGGCCTGGGCTTCCCACATGCTTGTGTTCCAAGGAGAGCAGAAGCTGTGAGGACTTTTAGATCTAGCCTTGAAGTCACAAAATGTCACTTCTGCTTTCTAGCAGTCAAAATGAGTCACAGAATCAAAGAGTGGGGAGCAGCAAAGTCACCTTGCAAGGGTACAGGGAGGGGAGGAAGTTGTGGTTGTTTCCTACAATTACCATACTCCCTGTCTTCCCACAGACCCTCCCAAGATACCCACCATGACAGCCTTTGTGGACCCTGAGGGTGGCATCCAGGGCATTCTGGACTGTCGAGTGGATAGCGAGCCCCTAGCCAGCCTGACCCTCCACCTTGGCAGTCGGTTGGTGGCCTCCAGCCAGCCTCTGGGTGCTCCAATGGAGCCGCACATCCGTGTCTCAGCTACACCCAATGCCTTGAGGATGGACATTGAGGAGCTGAGGCCCAGTGACCAGGGGGAATATGTGTGCTTTGCCTCCAATGCCCTGGGCTCTGCCTCCGCCTCCACCTACTTTGGAACCAGAGGTGAGGGAGGGCTCCATGTCCCGGGCCACTCTGCACCAGGCCTGGCTCTCAGGTCCAAAGGCTTCTTTCTGAGGTCTTCTCTGAATCGCTTCAGCTTGTCTGTCTAGTCTAGACTGGTTGCTTGAAGTTCTTTTGAATGGGGAAGCTCCTAAGATAAAGTGAAAGTCAGAAAAGGTTTCATTGTGGGGAGTCACTTGGGAAGGAGCAGCGGAGGCCTGGAGCCATAGCTGCCCCTGAACTGTCCCTGTGTTCCAGCCCTGCAGCGCCTGCATCTGTTCCAGCAGCTGCTCTGGGTCCTGGGGCTGCTGGCTGCCTTCCTCTTCCTCCTGTTGGGCCTGGGGGCCTGCTACGCCTGGAGGTGGGTCCAGAGCTGGAGGGTGGATGGGGCCAGCCCATCCTGCTCTGTTTTCTCCTAACATCCCCCAGTGTCCCTCCTACCAAATTCACAGACTCCTTATTTCCTAGCCTGTCCTCCTCCCTGCTCACATTCCAAATTTGGGAATCCTTTCTAGAATTATCTCTGAATCCACCTTGCTGTAGTTTTCTTCTTTCCTTATCTCTCTTGTCTGTGCTGAAGAAAGGGCTGGAGAGGAAGGAAGATAAGGTACCTCACTCCCCACTGCTCAGTGCAGTGAGCTGTTTGACAGGCCTGTGGGCGGGGGAGGGGATGGGGGCCGGCAGGGGGAGGAGAGGCTCTGAGTCCACTCTTGCCCTTGCAGAAGGAGATGTTTCCATAAGCTGAGAGTGGGTGAGAAATCCATGGAGATGGCTTATCAGAAGGACAGCATACAGGTATCTATGTACCATGTGGGCGCACACAGTGCTTCGCTACCCCATAGTGCCCCTAGAGACCTTGATAGGCTGGTGCCTGTGGCCAGGGGGAAATGGGGGAGAGAATAGAGAGAGAATATCAGGGCCCCTTGAATAGATAGGAGGAACCATATTCTGACTGGGGCAGAGGGAAGCCATGTGCAGCTGTCTGGATGACTGAGGCAGACATTCTGAACTTAGCAGCAACTTCTCCACTTCCAAGACATATAACCCCACCTGTGTTTTGGGGTCTCTCTGCCTATCACCTGGGTAAGTGTGAAAAACTTGTTGTTCTCCCCCTTGATGTGTCCCCTTCTGCAGATAATCCATTTGGGGCCAGGGCTCCTAGCTATGCAGTCTCACCAATCCCCTTGAGACCCCTACCCAAGGCTTGAGGGCCTGGGGGACTGCCCTCCAGAGTTAGAGATCAGGTGATGACATCTCCCAGAGTCCTCCTGTGACCAGGCTTCTCTATGGGAAGCTCATGGATCCTGATGCAGCTACATTTGGGGCTTCATCCTGTGCTCTGTCCCTGAGCTGACCCATGGCATTGCCTGTCCCCAGGATGAGGAGGAGGTCACTGGAATCTGTGATAACTTGGGCTTCGTAAACAAGGCTGCATTGGATCCTGACTGCCTTTGTGAAAACAACACTGTGACATCTGACTCTCTGTGACCTGCTTCCAAACCTCTTGCCCCCAAGAAAAATAGTGGTGAGAGGAGGGGATGAACCCCAATCTACCCAGGAGGGTGTTGACCTTGGGGGATGCTGAAGAAAAATGAGTTGATCATGTTGTCCACTTCTCCTCTTTTCTCTGGATCTCATCTCTCCATTTACTTTCCAATGCACTGCCTATTCACACCTTTCTCCTCCAAGCCCATCCTGGACTCTTTGGATGGATTTGAAGAGGAGCTTTCTACACCCTTACAGGCTGGCCAAGGCATTCTCTACTAGCTAGAATGTAAGTTAGGCTGCTCTAACAAGAGACCAAATACAGAACTTCAACATGAGATAATTTTATTTTTCTCTCCCATACTATTCTGGGTATGTTATGGTGGTTTAATTTTTTTTCAAAAAAATTCCATTTATTAATTTTAGAGAGAGAGGAAGGGAGAATGAGAAACATCATCTTGTTGTTCCGCCCATCCATGCATTCATTGGTTCATTCTTGTATGTGCTCTGACCGGGGATCAAACTCACAATCTTGGCATATTGGGGAGATGCTCCAACCAACTGAACTACCCGGCCAGGACCCTTCTATTTTATCTTGATTGTGAGGTTCACAATGACCCCACCGCATTCACATTCCCTGCTGCAAGAAGAGTGGAAGTTGAAGGTACAACCACTCCCATTGTGGACACAACTGAAACTTGCAAGTCATATCCACTCACTTCCCACTGGCCAGAGTTTAGTCACATGGCCACTCCAAGCTGAAAGGGATTCTGGGAAGTGCCGTTTTTATTATATTTCTAAAGGACTCCCAACTATGAACTCACCCCCGAAACTTTTGACATTGATGAGAATGCTGCCAGCAGGGCACATTCTGTCTCAGTGTCAATCTGCTGAAGGGCGTGCCCTGGTCATGGGCTTCCTGGAGGAGGTGGTCCCTCTCAAACATTAAGACTGAGGAAATCAAGAAGGTTTGGTGGTCCCTACAGAGAGAGTATGCTAAGCAGTGGGGTTGCCTGAGCAGATATATTGTGCCAGGTCTGGCCCCTGGAAGAAGAGGTGTCCCCATTCCCTCCTCCGCCCCCCAGGGAGCATGGGGAGCAGACACAGTGTCATCAGCATCATTCTTTCTGCTCCAGGTGCATTCCTCTCCATGATTCAGTTAGTTCACGTCCTCTTCCTGGAGGCTCGTGCCCAGGAGCTGTTAAAATGAATGAAGGTCACCAAGAAGAAATAATATGCTCCCAGGCAGTCAGTTCTTGGGTAGGCTAGTGATTCTAAGGGGAGCTAGTTCTTGGGTAGGCTAGTGATTCTCCTGGTAGCCTGGTGACAGATGGTGGGAGGAGCAAAGAGCGTGCTGCTCTGGGATTTGGGAAACATGGGGAGTAATGGGGCATTAGCATGGAGCTAACAGGTTGGGAATAAATTTGAGGCCTTCTGAGCTCCATGTAGCAGTGGTCGGGACCCTTCCTGGTCCAAGGTCCTATTCCTTTTAGTGCCTGATGGCCAGAACCTTCCTGGGAGCCTGTTTGGCATTTCATCCCAATAAATGTCCATCCTATGACATAACTGGAGTGAGTCTTTTTCTTGTAACCCAAACTGCTGGACTGGAACACAGAGGATTCAAATGTGAGTGGGGTTTATTCTGGAAGACTACCTGCCAAGGTATCCAGTGGGTGCAAATTACATGCATTTACTGCAAACAACCTTATGCTCAAGTGACTTGTGCCCCTTGCTGTTTCTTGAGGATGGGGGCTGCTCACCTGCGCTGCCTACATGACCAGCACCATGCTTGGCACACAGTGGATGAGTACTTAGAAAGTAAGTCCTGGTTTTTCTACATTGTTGTCAGGTGGCAGGATAGAAGACATGAGCTAAATCCAGAGGTGGGACTAGGAGAGAGCAAGCCAAGTACAGCCAATGTTTTTGGACTGTCTGGGGATAAGAGCCTGAGGGGAGGACCATGGGTGGCCACAGAAGAGGTGGCTACTGGGAGATCTGGGAACATTTTTTTGTTTTGTTTTGTTTAGGTAGAGTGGGAGGGAGAGAGGGGAACAGAGAGAGAGAGAGAGAGAGAGAGAGAAACATCGATGTGAAAGGGACACATCGAGTGGCTGCCACCCGCACAACCAACCAGGGCCGGGGACAAACTGCAACCGAGGTACGCGCCCTTAGCGGGAACTGAACCCGGGTCTCTCAGGACCACAGGCCGATGCTCTAACCGCTGAGCCAAACCGGCCAGGGCAGAAACTTTCTTTCTTTCTTTTTTTTTTTTATCCTCACCCGAGGACATTTTTCCAATTTTTGTACAGATAGAGTGGGAGGGAGAGAGAGGGAGAGAGAGAGAGAGAGAGAGAAACATCAACGTGAAAGGGACACATCGAGTGGCTGCCACCCGCACGACCAACCAGGGCCGGGGACAAACTGCAACCGAAGTACGTGCCCCTAGCCGGAACCGAACCCGGGTCTCTCCGGACCGCAGGCGGACGCTCTAACCGCTGAGCCAAACCTGCCAGGGCAGATCTGGGAACATTTGACTTGAGAGTCTTTATCTGCTTCTGTGTATCTCCATGGTCTACCTTGGATAGGAGAGTGCTCAGAGGGGTTCAATATGTCCACCCTCAGTGGTCTGAGGCTCCTCAAGACTTTTATTTTTTTCACAAAAAGTCTTTAGTTTATTAATCATCGTGTGAAAAATCTGCACAATCACCATATGTAGTCACAAAGAATCTGTACTTCTTTGGTTGGCCAATCTCCAGCTTATTTTTCGCCAGCACCAACACTGGCCTTTGCAGTCCCCTTGACCTTCTTCATTCTGTTCTTGCGTCCCTTCCTCTGTTTTCTTGAGGTCTTCTCATACAGGTCGTGTCTTACGAGTCTGTACTTGGGTTCATTTTCTTTCATAATGCAAGGAATCAAATTGTGCCAAAACCAGTAGTCTTGCCACCACCAGGATGGGTTCTGAATCCAAACGTAAAGATGGCATCTGGTGTGGTCTTGTACATTTTGGCTAGTTTTTCCCAAATTCTTTCTTGGGTACTGCTGCCTTCCCAGGGTGAAGGACGTCAACGACTATTTGTTTCTGCTTAAGTAGTCTGTTGGTCATGAACTTCCTGGGCTGGACAGTTACTGTGCTGTTCATGATGGTGGCCGATCTTCAAACAGTGAGGAAAAGAGCAAGACTTTTAAAATCAAGTTTGATTCAAGTGTAACACACATACAGAAAAGTGCACACGTTACAAGTGTACAGTTCAATGACTTTAAAAAGTCAGCACATCCATGTAACCAGTGCCCTCTGATCAAGAAACAGACCATTCATTATCGACACCCCAGAGCCTCCCTTGTGACCCCTCCAAGTCACAGTCTCCACAAAGGCAACCACTCTCTTGACTCCTCACACCACAGATTTGATTTGCCTGTTTTTGAACTTATACAAATGGAATTATAGAGAATGAATGACAACTTTGGAAAACTGTTTAACATTATCTAGTAAAGCTAAAATACTCCTGCCCTGAAATCCCCCCCTGGTTATTTACTCAAAAAGATTAGGGTTTATGCCCACCATGAGTGTGTACTAGAATGTTTAAGTCATGCTCTTTATAACAGTGCCAAACTGGAAACAACAAACGCATGTTGTCAATTGAATGGATGAATGAATTGTGTTATGTTCACACAATGGAATATTACACAGCAGTGAGGATCTACAACTACACATGGTGTGGACAATGCTCCCAAACATAATGTTGAGTGAAATGAGTCAGACACTAAACAGCATAGACTGCATGATTCTATTCTCCTGAAGTTCAAAGCTAACCAAGGTGATGAACGTCAAATAGTGGTTCTTTATGCGGGAAGGTCATGATTGGGAGGGACCAAAAAGGGACTCTCGGGGGGCGGACAGTATGCTGTTTCTTCATCTGGGTGCAGGTTTTATGGATGTGTTCACTTTGTGAAAAGTCATTGAGCTTGGCACATAGGACACACACACACTTTTCTGAAAATATACCGAACAGTATTTTCAATAAGATGGTTTTGAAAAACCTTCCACCTTTTTTGTTGGCTATCCAGGGAAGTCTACCTAAATTCTGGCTGAGTACATCTTCACTTTGCCAAGGGACATCATGTTGCCCAGCACCCAAGCATTGGCATGGCATCTGCATGGGCTGCAGCTGGCAGTGCCTTCGTTGGACACCTTGTAATGGGTTACTCTTCGGGATGAGTCCCGTTTATAGGTTGTGGGAATTGCTCATTATATGAGCACTTTAAAGATTTAACTCTCACTGGTCTGCCTTTTATCCAGGACACTTCCCAGTGCCCTAGACAGTGACACCAACGAGGCATCTGATAAACTGTCTCCCACGGTGTTATCAGGCATGAACACTGAGCTGATCAGTGGCACCTCTAGGATCCATCTTCCTCAACTTTGGTCCAGTGGCCCCATCCCCTCCTCTGCTACCCTCAAATGTAAAGAAACTGTTGCTCTGAGATTTCAGCAGAAAATTCCTCTGATGTGCTTGGATACAGCTCATCTGGGTTGGTGCATCCATCTGGCAAGGACGACGTCAATCCTCACACTGCTCTTAGGCTCCATGCTGCCCCGTTTTACCAGCACGGACTGCGCCAGGCCCTGTGTGAGGCAGTGAACAACAGAAAGCCCCGGATCTCATGGAGCTCAGGGTCTGGAGGAAAGAGACAGGAAACAGGCAACTATAACGCTGTGTAAAATGCGGTGCAGTGAGAAGTGTCGTGCAGGGGGTGGTAACCGGGCTCTGGGTCAGGGAGTCTCCAAAGCTGCAGCCTGCAGTGTGAGCAGATCACCGGTTGGCTGTATTCTTGCCAGAGGAGAGAGAGCCCTGCCTTCTTCTCTCCCTGATGCCCATGCTGAGGCCTCCCCATCCACGACTCTGGGGTTGCTCTGCTTTCCTGGTCCCCAGCTCATTTGGTGCTCAAGCCACCTCCAGTCCCCTGCCAGGCTCTGCCAGGGTACACATTTGGTATTGTCTTGTCCGTGTGATTTCTGGGGCTTTCGTAGCTGCCTCTCTCTTCTTCCTCCACAGGACTGTTTTCTTTACCATGGTTAGGACTTACAGTTCATAACTTCTCCTTTCTCAGGATCCACACTCTCTTCTGGATTCTCTAGTTGTACTCTTGGTTCAAGAAGGAAGCCCGGCCCTGGCCGGTTTGGCTCAGGGGTTAGAGCATCCACCTGCGGTCCGGAGAGACCCGGGTTCGGTTCCCGCTAAGGGCATGTACCTCGGTTGCAGTTTGTCCCTGGCCCTGGTTGGTCGTGCGGGTGGCAGCCACTTGATGTGTCCCTTTCACATCGATGTTTCCCTCTCTCTCTCTCTCTTCCTCTCTCTCCCTCCCACTCTATCTGTACAAAAAATGGAAAAATGTCCTCGGATGAGGATTAAAAAAAAAAAAAAAGAAGGAAGCCCGGATCTCTCTGTTCACTACTGTTCTACCCCAACAAGAGAAGATAGCAAAATGGACCTGGGTATGACAGAATGCCTTGCTCTGGAGGGGTGCCCTCTCTTGCTGTCAGGACCCATGGTGACCCCGTTTAGTCATCCAGAGGGGGAGGGGTTGATGGCCCTTGAGCCTGTCTACACTAGAGCTCCCAGATGACCAAAGCCATCTATGTCTGTATTAAGTCTGGTTCCCAAGATGAGATTTTATGTGCAGGTGATTTATTAGGGACATGCACCCAGGGGAGACCAGTACAAGGGTGAGGGGAGCAGGACAGGCAAAGGGAGGAAGCTAAGGACATATGCACTTGAATGTTCATAGCAGCAATTTTTGTAACAACTCAAAAGTAGGGAGCCACTCATATGTCCAGCAACAGTAGAATCGATGGGGGTGGGGGGCAGAAGGACAGATGGGAATGTGGTTATATTTACACAGTCGAATGCTACCCAGCAAAGAATATAAATGAGCTAAAGTCTGGATACATTTCATAAACTGGGGGAAATATTTGCAACTCATATTCTAGACAAAGGGTTAATCACCCTTTATATAAAGATCTCCTTCAAGTTAAGAGAGATCAACAATTTTTTGTGAGTGTGGTATGTGCCCCTAGTGGGAACCGAACCCGGGACTCTGGTCCGCAGGTCAACGCTCAACTGCTGAGCCAAACTGGCCAGGGCGAGAGATCAACAATTTAATGGAAAAATGGGCTGTGAGCCCTGGCCTGTGTGGCTTAGTTGGTTGGGTGTCATCCCATGCACCAAAGGGTTGTCGGTTTGATTCCAGGTCAGGGCACATGCCCGGGGTTGCAGAGTTACAGTCTCCATCACCGGTGAAGGGCTGAGGGATGCAGCCAATAAGAAAAAGAAAAGAGAAATGGGCTGTGATGTGAACAGGCAATTTGGGAAAAAGTAAATACAAATGGCTTTTAAATGTTTGAACACATATTAATCTTAATAATAAGAAAAATGCAAGTTAACACTGCAGTTTTGCCCTTTGATTAGCAAATACTATGAGAGTTTGGTAACTGTGTTGGTGAGGCTGTGGGGAAACAAGCACTCTAAATATTATAAGTTGGCACAGTTGGGAGGGCAACTTAACTGTATCTACACAAATCACAAACACACATATCCTTAGATCTAGTCATCCTGCTTGTAGAAAATCATCTCACAGATAAGCTTGTGCCTAGAATTATCCATCACAGCATTGTTTGTAATAACAGAGAATGTATTGGAAACCATTTATATGCCCAAGAGGGGACTACAAATAAATACATGGTAGCATTCATGTATAAAAAATGATGAGGATGTTATCCATGCCACTATACAACCCACTAGAATGGCTAAAATTAAAAGGCTGACAATACTTAATGTTGCTGAGGATGCAGAGAAACTGGAACTCTCGTACATTGCTGGTGGGAATGTAAAATGGTACGGCTGTTTTCGAAAAACAGTTTCTTAAAAAAATTAAATTATGCCCTTACTATATAACCCCACAATTCTACTTCTAGGCATTTACAGAAAAGATATAAAAACATATGTTTTTGCAAAGATTTACACAGCAATTTTGTAACAGCTGTATTTAAAAGAGCCCCAAAGTAGAAGAACCCAAATGCCTAACTGGAGAAGAACACACTTCCCTCTACCATAGAACTACTCAGCTCCACAAAAGAACAAATTACTGATACATGAAACAATGTAAATGAATCTCAAAAACATGAAGAAAGAAGGCAGTGGGACAGGTGAGTACATGCTTTATGCTTCCATTTCTATGAGGTTCTAAAATATGCAAAACTTAGCTGTAGACAGAGAGATCAGTGGTTGCTTGGAGTTGGGAGTGGGAGAGACTGGGAAGAGGGGCAAGAGAACATAAATTTATCAAAAAGCATCTAATTGTACAGTCATATAAGGTGCAGTTTATTGTATGTAAATTATACCTTAATAATTATGAGAAGAGTGATAATGAGACCACTCTAAATTCACTGATATGAAGACTATCCAAGGGGTATTAAGTGAACAAAAAAATTAAGGTGAAGAAAAATGTTATTTAGAGAAAAAGATATGTCTGTATTATCTTAGGAACGCATAAAATTATCTCAAAGCCTATACTAGTAATGAGTGGCTTTCTATTGGGGGATACTTTTTTGTTCGTTTGTTTTTTAATCCTCACCCAAGGATATTTCTCCATTGATTTTTTTTTTTTTTTTATCCTCACCGGAGGACATTTTTCCATTTTTTGTTCAGATAGAGTGGGAGGGAGAGAAAGAGAGAAACATCGACGTGAAAGGGACACATAGAGTGGCTGCCACCGGCACGACTCTACCAGGGCCAGGACAAACTGCAACCGAGGTACCTGCCCTTAGGGGGAACCGAAACTGCAGCCACGCTCTAACCGCTGAGTACACCGGCCAGGGCTCCATTGATTTTTTTTTTTTTTTTTTTTTAATGAGGGCGGGGGGTGGGTAATGTGAGAGAGGCACATGGATTGGTTGTCTCCCCCGGGACTCTGACCAGGGCCAGGGATCCAACCGGCCACCGAGGTACATGCCTCTGACTGAGAACCCACAACTCTTTATTCTGCGGGGCCACGTTGTCTCCGCTGAGTCAAACCAGCCAGGGCATCTTATACTTTTTGATGTTTTAATCAGGCAAACATAGATTTCCCTTGCTGCTAGAACTCTTACTAACTAAACTGCAACACTTTGATTTCTCAAAATCAAATAGTTTTGCCTAAAAGTTAATATCCCTCGCTATGGGAATACTTACTACTCGCTATTCGAATTTACTACTGAGTACACAAACAGACCTTTAAAACCAGAAGCAGATGTTACCGAGGCTGAAAAAATCCCTGATGTCCGGGAGTCTACGGTTTTGTACAATTTTCCCAGTGGCCACGGCCAGAGACAAAGGGCTGCCCCCGCCCCCTCCCGCGCGCCCGTCCGGTCGCCTCGCCTTCGCGCGGCGCGGAGCGGGCAGGACCGCGGCCTCCGCCCGCTCGCGTCCACCCGCGCGCCGCGGTGCAGGGGCTGGCGCCACCGGGGCGCAGAGACTAGCTCGGCACCTGTCGGGGTCTCCCCGGGCTCTTCTTTTAGGGGCACTTCTACTGGGTTCTCTCCAGGTCGCCTCTGGGCAGAACTGGTGACCAGCCGGGGACAGAGGTTCACCCCAGGAGATCACGGGGGTGGGGCGAGGGGGGAGGCGGGAGGCTCTTCGGGTAGCTCCGAGCAGCAACAGGTGGCCTCTGTCCCCTCCGCTATAGTCCTCAAAAACATTTCCCAAGGGTCCGCAACCCATTGCCACCCTCCACCCCCACAAGTAGGGGGCTCCCTGAGACCTTTGGCGGGATAGCGTGGGCCGGTGCCCAGAGGGGCCGCCCGGCCCACGCAGGTTCTACCCCTGGAGGGCCGCTCCGGCCGGGAGGGTCGTCCGGTCTCCCCAGCGTCGGCAGGAATCGGCTGAGTCACCGCGCGGGCGGTCGGGGCTGCTTGCGGGGTCGCGGGGGGAGGGGTGCGGGCGAAGACCCGGGAGCGGGAGGGTCCGGAGGCGGTGGGCCGGCCGCACTGGGCGTGGGGCGGTGGCGATCCAGCCGGGGCGGGGCAGGGAGCTGGGAGCCAGAGCCGCCCCTTAGAGGTCGAGGCGCTCATCGCTATGGGCCGGGGTTCTCGGAGAGCTGCAGGGTCGCCGGTCTTGCTGCTGCTGCTGCTGCTGCTGCTGCTGCTGCCGCTGCCGCCGCCGTGGCCGGTGTGGGGGGCCGAGGCCTTTGGCGGTGAGTGGGAGTGCGCCCGGAGGGGCAGGCTTGGTCACTGTTGGCGGACGGAGGTTTTGAACCGGGCCTCCCACGCCCGCCAGGGAACAGGGAGGGTTTGGGAAGGTGTCCCTGGGACCTGCCCAGAAATTCTCACCTGTACTTGGGCTGAGGGGTCAGGTTTGCACATTTGCCCAACTGCTAGGGTGCCCACAACAAAACAAAGTGGCAGCCGCCCAGCCCCTCAAACCCCTCTGCTTGGATTCTCAGCTGGAACTTGCACCCCCATGCCCCAGGCTCCATCCTCCAGTGGGAACATTCCTGCACCACCAACCCTTGGGGCTCAAAGGTCTTCCTCTGGAAAGTCTTCAGCCCACTGCCCCCTGGAGTCCCTGCTGTGATCTCAGACTCGGGGACTGACTGAGACTTCCACACACACACATCATCCAAGCTCATCCCCCACCTCTGCCCCGCCCCCCCATCCTAGGGCCTTGGGACAGCGTGTATCTTGTTTATATTGTTGCCTTGTTCGGTTAGATAGAGAAGGAGGGCTTCTCACAGAAGGTGCCCGTTAGCTCGGCAGGGGGCAGGGGACTGAGCTCAGTCTCCTCCCAGTGTAACCCCTCCAAACCCTCTGTGAGGTGGGGCTGGTAACAGCAGCTTCCCAGAATGGATGGGAGGACTGGTGGAGTCCTGTACATCCAGTGCCTGGGAGGGGTCAGGGAGGAGGCAGGACAGGCTGTGCTGGGAAGCCTGGGGCAGAGCAGGGAGGTTGTAGAGCCGCTGGAGGGGGTACCCAACAGGGACAGGGTCCTGATCTGTTCTGGACCCTCAGGAGGAGGGATGACAGCTCTCTTTCTCTTGGTGATGGTCCCCAGACATTCCACTGATTCCTCCTCCTCAGTCCGGAGCCAGGGGAGGATGACGCAACCCCTGCGAGGAGTGGAGAGGGGCTCTATGCTCCCCAACACCACACTGGCTCCCCTAGTTTCCGCCCCCATTCATTTAGTCACCACAGCTCCATCGCTGCCTCCCTCTCCCTCATCAAGGTGCCAGTGGCCTGGAAGTGTTCCAAAGGCCATGAGAAGAACCCCTAATCCATACCCTCCCCTCTCCACCCTGGGAGACCCCCAGTTAAGTCCTCTCTGCGCTACGAGAACCTCCCCTCTCCCCAGAAGCACTCAGACTCCTCCCCACGCTGCCCTCTCAGTCTAAAGGTAACTGCTTGATGGCAACTCACTCACCCAATCAGGGAGGGCTTCTTGGGAGAGGGGAACTCCTGGAGCCAGCTGCTATTCAGGTCTTTGATGAGGGGGTGAGGGAGGAGACAGAGGAGGAGAAAGAAGTTGGGGTGGCAGTTGCTCAGCCTCTTCCACAGGCAGCCATCTCAGCATAGGCAGTGCTAGTGAGGCTGGGGAGTTATCAGTTCTGGGAGCTGGGTTTCCCCAGGACTAATGCCAGAGGAGCTGGAGGGCTGCCTGGGGCCTGGCTCCTGCAGGGCATGTGTAATGAGTTGCTGAGGGCCTTGGGGTGGGGGGGCACTGGGAGCATTCCAGGGGAGCATTCCAGTCTCCTCTGAGTAATGCTTGGCTCTGGTATTCCTCCTGGAGCCCCCTAAGCACATCCCACCTGGGAGCACTCGGGCTCTGTGCCCTGCCTCCCCCACTGAAGACCCGAGGAGGGGCCTCGGGGCCAGGGTCCCTGGAAGCTCCAGTTCCAGCATGAAATCCCCAAGGGCAGCCCTGAGCAAGGTGGGCCTCCCAAGAAAACATCTAGCTCTTGTTTTGCTCAGTGTGGTGGAGACACAGGCATCCTCTTCACAAATCTCTCACCCTAAGCATCTGCTGCTCAGTCTAAAAATATCCAAGGCTGCCTCCTCCTCCTCTCCCCCCTGCACTGGTGGCCGTGGTCTCTTCCTTGTGACCTTTGACCCCAAGCCCTCCCCTGAGGTCAGTGGGGTTCGGGCATCCCCAGCTGAACTATCCTTTCTAGCCTCTTCTGCCACCTCCCTGGATGCTTCTCAGTTCCAAGGACACCCCAGGGATTGTTGAAGATGGATGTTCCTCCCTGCTGCTGTCCCTAACCCTGTTCCTCTGCTGTCCCCGCTCCCCTCCATTCCCCTCACCCTGTGCTCTGTCTTACACCAGGAAACACCCCTGGAGAGCCAGTCACCCCTCACTGGGTCCTGGATGGGCGACCCTGGCGCATGATCACCCTGGAGGAGCCGGTCAGTGCTGCATCACCCCTTCCTCTGCAGGTCTCCCAGCCCCTTGCCCCTCCCCAAACTTCAGTGTGACAGTTTTACTGGGTTCCTTAGATTCCCTCTCCCAGTCCTTCAGGCTCCTCCCTGAACGGTTAGCGGGCAGGGGTGGGGAGACATCTAGATTGCGTGAGCCTGCACACATGGAAGTCATTTTCAGCCCCCCCACACTACCTCCTTTCTTTCTCCCCCTTCCCAGAACTAGCCAGTCCACCCCCATCCCATCCGGCAGAGTTTGTGAGGCGTGAAATTTCAGGGACCTCTTTAAGAAAACACCAAGATATTTTCCTTTTGCAAAGTTTACCAGAACATGTGACCCTGTGGACACATTGCTGTCGCCTCCAGGACCCTGCCATTGAGGGGCCTGAACCTTTAGTCTCACTGGCTCATGCAGAATCCACTTCTGTCCGGGAGGCAGTGGTCACTCTCTTGGTGGCCCTCGGATGCAAGCCCACCCCGTTTTGCTTTTCCAGGATGCTCTGCCCCAGCCTCCTCCCAACATCCACCCCTCACACACGTCCAGAAGAGCCACAGCCCCGTCGCATGTGTCCCACAGCTGTGGTGCAAAGCGCGGGGCCCGTAGCCTCGGTGTGCCCATCTCACAGAGGGGCAAACTGAAACCCAGAGAGGTTAGAGAAGTTGCCCAAGTTCACACAGCTCTTTAGCCCAGAAGTCTGAGTCCCACATGGTCGGAAAGACTTTAAACCATTGGCCAATGTCCTCCAAACCCTCTTCACCCTGAATTTTTGGGTGAGAAAGAACAACCCACTGTCCACGCCAGCAAGGAGCACTGCCGTGGAGGCGGGGGCTCCCACAGGCCCACAGCTCCCAACCCTAGAGCCCTCACTGCGTCCCCAGACCCTCAGGGTCCCCATTCAAGTGGTCAAGCATGGCGCTGGTCCAAGCTTTGAGATTATTTTCCTGGACATCACCGGCAGAGGGAAGGGCTGGGCACACGCTCGGGTCACCCTGACTGAGCAGGAGGGGAATCCCAAAGGGGCCTTGCTTTTCTCGCTTGCAGGCCCTCGTCCCCAGGAAGCCTGTCACGTGAGGGCATGTTGAGGCAGGGCGTCCTATCCCAGAGGAAGGAAACACTCATGCCAGGTCAGGAACGGGGTGCATAGTGAGGGTTAAGTCACTAGGAGGGCCAGAAGTGAGGACAGCAGCAGGACAGAGATGGGATTCTGGGGTGCGGGGTGGCAGGAGGAGACTTTTCATTTGGGCAGCCGCCTTTCGTCAGTACAAACCTTTCTCTAACAAAGCAAGAGGCATTCCGGACCCATGAGCTCATGCTTGGGGCCTTACTGGGCTCTTGGCTGGGGCATAGAGCTGTCTGCTCCCCATCTGCAGAGGAAGAGCCCCCACTCCAAGACTGTGAGCCCCTTGGCCTCTGGCCCAGCCCAGTGCATTGTGGACTAAAAAGGAAGGGCCCGCGAGGACTGGGGCCAGCATTCCAAAGACACAGCCTCTCTCCAGGAGGCTCCTGGACCGGCTCTGACTCTGGGCCCCCAGCCAGGCTGAGTGGACAAGGGAGGCAGGTGGGGTCTTCCCACAGCATGGAAGCAGCAGAGCTGTAGGGAAAGAGAGGCTGGTCGGGGGCCCCCTCCTGACATCTGTCCAAGAAAGCCAGTGTTTTTCTCTTGGCCCTGGGTAGGGGTCTGCATTTATTTCATAGGACCAGTGAAACAGGTACGGGAGAGCCTACTGGAGACCAAGGAAAATTTCAGGGCCTGGCAGTTTGTCAGAACTGGAGGTGGAGGAGTAAAGTCTGAGTTCTACAGAGAATGGGGAGAAGCAAAACTCTGAAACAAGAGATTGTGAGGAGGCCCCAGCCACAGCTACCTGGTGTGCACCCATCCCTTGCCCTGTCTTCAGGACCCCACTGTCCTCCTGCCTAGAGGAAGCCTGGGCATGAAAGAGGGAGGGCCCGAGGAAAGGCCCAGTAGCCTTGAGCAAGACAGGGCATCTTTCTGGGACCCCTCATCTCTCTAGGGAGTAAGTGGTGTGTACCTAGCAGGCTATGTCAAATGGCTATTGTCAGAACAGCAAACATACTGAGTTTGGGATCATCTTTATTTGCATGTTCTCACCCCCACGCCCATCCACGCGCATCAGCGTGTTCTCACCCCCACGCCCGTCCACGCGCACCAGCGTGTTCTCAACCCCACGCCCGTCCACGCGCATCAGCGTGTTCTCAACCCCACGCCCGTCCACGCGCACCAGCGTGTTCTCACCCCCACGCCCGTCCACGCGCATCAGCGTGTTCTCAACCCCCACGCCCGTCCACGCGCACCAGCGGTGTTCTCACCACCCACGCCCGTCCACGCCCATCAGCGTGTTCTCACCCCCCACGCCCGTCCCCCCACGCCCATCAGCGTGTTCTCACCCCCACGCCCGTCCACGCGCTCAGCGTGTTCTCACACCCCACGCCCGCCCACGCGCATCAGCGTGTTCTCAACCCCACGCCCGTCCACGCGCACCAGCGTGTTCTCAACCCCACGCCCGTCCACGCGCACCAGCGTGTTCTCACCCCCACGCCCGTCCACGCGCATCAGCGTGTTCTCACCCCCACGCCCGTCCACGCGCATCAGCGTGTTCTCAACCCCACGCCCGTCCACGCGCATCAGCGTGTTCTCAACCCCACGCCCGTCCACGCGCACCAGCGTGTTCTCACCCCCACGCCCGTGTCCAGCGCCCACCAGCGGTGTTCTCACCCCCACGCGCCCGTCCACGCCCAGGTGTTCTCACCCCCCACGCCCGTCCACGCCCATCAGCGTGTTCTCACCCCCAGCCCGTCCACGCCCACCAGCGTGTTCTCACCCCCACGCCCGTCCACGCCCAACAGCGTGTTCTCACCCCCACGCCCATCCACGCTCACCAGCGTGTTCTCACCCCCACGCCCGTCCACGCCCATCAGCGTGTTCTCACCCCCACGCCCGTCCACGCGCACCAGCGTGTTCTCACCCCCACGCCCGTCCACGCGCACCAGCGTGTTCTCACCCCCACGCCCGTCCACGCGCACCAGCGTGTTCTCACCCCCACGCCCGTCCACGCCCATCAGCGTGTTCTCACCCCCACGCCCGTCCACACCCATCAGCGTGTTCTCACCCCCACGCCCGTCCATACCCATCAGCGTGTTCTCACCCCCACGCCCATCCATGTCCACCAGGGCAAGTGGGGACCCTTCTGTACCCCACTCCATGTTCTCCCCATGACCTCCCTTGCCAGCTGGCTCCACATCCCTCCTGCTCCCTGGCAGACAGGAGGCCAGGCTGCCTGCCTTCTCAGCCCTGCACTCCTTCTTGCCCAGGTCTTGAAGCTGGACACAGGACTGGTAGCCTTGGAGGCTGAAGGCCAGGAGCTCCTGCTGGAGCTGGAGAAGAACCAGTGAGTACAGGCCAGTGAGGGGGCAGGGAGCCAAGACAGCCCCTTTCTCCGGGGGTAAGGAGAACAATGCTGAGGGCAGGGACTGGCAGAAACCCAGGAGGGAGGCTGGAAGGGGTGAGGGCTCCCTTGAGGCTGAAGTGAACTGTTAGGCTGGGTCAGCCCTGCTCTGGGCCACATCCTTCATCCAGGCCCCAGGAGCATCTTGTCAGCTGCCAGAAATGAGTAAGCATCACCTAATGAGTTCTCAAAAGGAACCCCGAGTCAAAAGAGAATCCAAGATAGGTTCTAATGATGGGCAGGCACTCCAGGTTAATGAAGTGACAAGAACAAAGGTGCAGTGGTACAAAGATCAAGACACATTCAGGGTGTATCAATTTGTCTGGCTTGCCCAGAGGGTCTCCATCTTTAGGGAAGGGAGCAATGGGCAACATATTTGGGGAGTCCCAGTGGGGCTGGGTCACAGGGGCCATTTTTAGTGCTGAGTATCCTGGATGGTGCAGAGCCAAAGATTTTGAGTTGGTGAATGAGCAGGCAGAGCAGGGATGGATGGGGTGGATGTCCATGGGATCTTAAAACCATCCAGACTATATTATCAACAGCTATTTATTTCCAAGTGCGTGTTTCATTGCAGGCACTGCTCTGAGCACTCCATGCATTTAATTCTCCCAGTGGAATCAGATGGACTAGGAACAAACTAGTTCCACCATGCCCAGCCAGTTTCTCTGGGGCTTGGTGTCCCTCGCATTAAATGGGCTGATCATATCACCTACCTCCCAGGGTTGTGTGTGTGTGTGGAGGGGGGAGCAAAGCTTCAGAAGGTAAAGGAGAGCCTGGGAGGTGGGGACGCAGGCATCACCGGTCTTTGGGCAGTCTGGCAGTGCAGAGGTCAAGGCGAGGCGGGGGTCAAGGATTTTCTTTAAAGAGGAGAGACTGACTTAAGGTTGATCCATCTTAGTAGGAAGGGTCCTGGTGAGACAGAGCACACAGCTGGAATCATGAAGGGGACGAGCATCACTGAAGGACAGTTGGGAAGATATGTGGGGTCTGTGGGCCAGAGGAGAAGATTTGAAGGATCCTTGAGGCAGGGAGGTGGACTGGAGAGAAGGATGACTAGATGCCCAACAAGAGTAGGCAGCAGGAAGGGCCTCCTAGGGAGTTCAGCCACACTTTCTTGGCTCCAAGTCCCACCTCCTCAGCAGTGTCTCCTGAGTCCTCCCCTCCTGCCCAGCCTAAGACCTGGGCATCCAGCTGCCTGCCACAGGCTCCACAGGGACCACAAACTCTGCCCCTATTGCTGCTTCTCCCTAATGCTTCCCACACTCCCACTTCACATATCTACGCCATCACCAAGGCCCCTTCCTGCCCTTCCCTTTTCTCCCTCTAGCTCCAGGTTTTTCTGAGCTAAGCAACACAGTCATTCCTGTCCCTTTCCTAAGACACACTTTGGGTACTTCTTAAATGCTAAGCCCTGTGGCTAATAGAGCCATTCCTAATGATCAATAAGTCCTGTGCTTAATGATCAATTGGCATTCAGGGAGGAAGGCTGGAGGGCATCCTGGAGGAGGCAGAACTGAATTAAGTGATTCCTACAACACCCTCTCCCAGCAGGCTGCTGGCCCCAGGACACACAGAAACCCACTACAGCCCAGATGGGCAGCCAGTGCTGCTGGTCCCCAACCACACGGTGAGACACTTCCATGGGCACTGAGGACAGGGTGAGGGGTGCTGGGGGATGCGTTCCCTGAGGGCCTCCCCACCATTCCTTCCCCATTCTCCTGTTCCTGAGGAGAGGCTGGAGCCAGCCCCCACCATGCCTGCTCCCTTGCCCCTCCCACTCAGTCCTGGCTGAGAGTGGAGGCTGGATCCCTTGCTCTCCAGGATCATTGTTATTACCATGGGCGAGTGAGGGGCTTCCGGGACTCCTGGGTAGTCCTTAGCACCTGCTCTGGGATGAGGTGAGGAGATCTGGGGGAGGGGGCTGGGCCTGGGGCTGTGGCTGGGGCAAGAATTCTCTCACACCACTTTCTGCACCCCTCTGCATCCTAGGGGTCTGATCACGCTCAGCAGCAATGCCAGCTATTATGTGCATCCCTGGCCAGCTGGGGATGCCCAGGACATCTCAAGCCACAGGATCTTCCGGACAGAGCAGCTACTTAGCTGGAAAGGGGCCTGTGGCCACCGGGATCCTGGAGACAAAGGGAGCAAGACCAGCCTTTCTTGTGCCACCCAGATCAGGGTTAGAGGCACAGGCAGGGGTAGGAGTGGGAATGCAGTATACATAGCCCACCAAATCAGAAAGACAGGAATGTGTGGCCCCTTGCAGGGTCTCCTGTCCTATTTTTATTTGGAAGCTGAAGAAACAAGTTCTGGCAAATTTTTTAAGTTAATTTTGTGCTTTCTGGGGAATGGGGTTGGTGGTCAGGGTTCAAGCCCAGCAGTGGGCCATTCAGGTTCACTGTTGCCTCTCCCCAGGACCGGCGGGAGGCCCGCAGAAGCCCAAGGTACCTGGAGCTGTACATAGTGGCTGACCACACCCTGGTGAGAGGAGACTCAGGGGTTTGTTGGGGCTGAGTGGGACCAGCTCAGCCTGTCACATGGCTATATTGCTGCCTTTTCAGTTCTTGACCCAGAACCAGAACTTGAACCACACCAAACAGCGTCTTCTGGAGATCGCCAATTACGTGGACCAGGTTGGGGGCGGTGGGTGGGAAGATAGGCCTGATGGGAGTCACCACCACAGTGGTGGGCAGGTCCTAGCTGGACGTGGCAGTCTTGGGGATGAGGAGAGAGAATGTAGGGGGAAGAGCGGGACCACCAGGGTGGTGGTGCGCTTTGTCCCTGCTTCAGGCCCGTCCTGCCCTGACCACAGATTCTCAGGACTCTGGACATTCAGGTGGCACTGACCGGCCTGGAAGTATGGACTGAGCAGGACCAGAGCCTTGTCCTGCCTGATGCGAACGCCACGCTCTGGGCTTTCCTGCAGTGGCGACGGGGCCTGTGGGCGCGGCAGCCACACGACTCAACGCAGCTGCTCACGTGGGTGCCTCCCAACCCCACGCGGGTCCCCCGCTGAGCGGTCCCCCTCCCCGCATCTCGAGTCACGCCGCACTCCGCCCTCAGGGGCCGCTCTTTCAGGGACAACACCGTGGGCCTGGCACCGGTGGAAGGCATGTGCCTTGTAGAGAGCTCTGGAGGCGTGAGCACGGTGAGCTCCGCCCGGGACTGGACGAGAGGAGAGGTGCGGGCCGTGTCCTCAACCCGCAGTGACCATCCCCACGCCCTCCCAGGATCACTCGGAGCTCCCCATCGGCGCTGCAGCTACCATGGCCCATGAGATAGGCCACAGCCTCGGCCTCAGTCACGACCCAGACGGCTGTTGCGTAGGGGCTGCAGCTGAGCCGGGAGGCTGCGTCATGGCAGCAGCTACTGGGTAGGGGCGACCTGGTGGGGGAGGGGCCCTGGGGAGGCTCCACTAGACCCGGGACCTTCCTCCGCTGCATTCCTTTGGGTGAATGCTCACCTCTCAGTTTCCTCTTCTGTAAAATGGGGATATGATCATAGTACCCGTCCTGAGTTGTTTATGAGGCTTTAAATGGAGGAAACACAAGGAAAGTGGATTCTCAAGAATATGGATTCTTTTCGGGAACACCTGGCGAGGTTACTCCTACAGGACTGGCCGCGATGGGTTGGGATTTGACTTTAAGTCCTGGCGTCACACCCTTCCGCCTCGGTCTAGCTGTGTGACTTTGCTCGGGTTACTCACCCACTCTGGGCTCAGCCTCTAGAGGATTCGAGCCGCCCATCCGCGGCTGTGTGGCCAAGCACGGGTGGTCGTGGTGGGAGGAGAGCAGGACGTTCAGGGGGTGGTCCCCGCACCTCCGACGCCCTTCCCCGCCCGTAGGCACCCGTTCCCCCGCGTGTTCAGCGCTTGCAGCCGCCGCCAGCTGCGCGCCTTCTTCCGCAAGGGGGGCGGCGCGTGCCTCTCCAATGCGCCCGGCCCCGGGCTCCCGGTGCGGCGGGCGCGCTGCGGCAACGGCTTCGTGGAGGACGGCGAGGAGTGCGACTGCGGCGCCGCCCAGGTTAGGTCCGCGCGGCCCCTGCGGGCCAAGGCTGCCCCCACCCGCCCCTCCCCGGGGTCCGGGGCGCTGCTGCTCGCCACCTGGTCCCTTCTCGCCTTTTCGGCTCCAGGAGTGCCCCGACCCCTGCTGCTTCGCCCACAACTGCTCGCTGCGTGAGGGGGCCCAGTGTTCCCACGGAGACTGCTGCTCGAGCTGCCAGGTGAGGGCGCGGGAGGCGCGGAGCGGCGCTGTGGAGCTGCCCGTTTGTCCTGGCTGATTGGCGTCCCCCGGTCTCCTGCGGGTGCTGACTCTGCTCGGCGCTTGGGTGCACCTCGTCCTCCCGCCGGGCTGTCCTGCCGCTGCGCCTCGCTGTCGGCGCTGATCTCTCACTGTCCACTGTCTTCCCGTGTTTCGGCCACTCTCCCGCCACGCGGGTCACCTGTATAGCTGAAGCCGGCGGGCGCGCCGTGCCGTCAGGCTGCAGGCGACTGTGACCTCCCTGAGTTCTGCACGGGCGCCTCTCCCTACTGTCCCCCAGACGTTTACCTACTCGATGGCTCTCCCTGCGCCAGCGGCCGCGGCTACTGCCGGGACGGCGCGTGCCCCACGCTCCAGCAGCAGTGCCAGCAGCTCTGGGGACCTGGTGAGAGAACGCGCGTGGCCTTGCATCTCGTCCCTCTCCTTGGGTCCGAGGACATTTCTACTCTAGGAAAGATGGGCAGGGGGAACGAGGGCGGGGGAAGCATGGTCCCCAGCTCCGCCCATGCTTCCCCAGGCTCCCGCCCAGCCCCAGAGGCCTGTTTCCACTTGGTGAACTCTGCAGGAGACGCCCCTGGCAACTGCGACCAGGCCGAAGAGGGCAGCTACCAGCCGTGTGCGCAGAGGTGGGGAGAGGAGCAGAGGGAGTGGAAGCTGGGGAGTGGGTTGGGGGCAGGGGGACACTCCGTGCTGTTTGACCACCCTCCACTTGGTCCCTAGGGATGCGCAGTGTGGGAAGCTGCAGTGCCAGGGTGGGGAGCAGAGCCCACTGGCACCACACACGATGGCGGTGCACTCTACCCTCCGCCTAGGCAGCCTAGAAGTGACCTGCAAGGGAGCCTTTCTGCTACCTGGTGCCCAGCTGGACCTGCCTAACTTGGGCCTGGTAGAGCCAGGCACCCAGTGTGGACCTACAATGGTGAGTCCTGCCCACCTGACCCCTCCCTGCCACTCGGGTCCCTAGGGCCAAAGCGTCACTCCCCCCAGTGCTTAGTGCACATCACTGCCCATAGGTGTGCCAGGACAGGCGCTGTCAGAACACCACCTTTCAGGAGTTGGAGCACTGCCTGACCGCCTGCCATGGCCATGGGGTGAGTAGTCTTGAGTGTGTGTGGGGGGGTGACCTTGAGGTCCCTCATCCCATGGGACCCTCCTTTTCCCTTCCTCTGCAGGTTTGCAATAGTAACCATAACTGCCACTGCGATCCCGGCTGGGCTCCACCCTCCTGCGACAAGCCAGGGTTGGGTGGTAGCGTGGACAGCGGCCCTGTGCAGTCTGAAAGTGCGCACATGGGGGACGAGTGGGGGCAGCCCTTGTGGTGCACCTACTTCGGACTCAGCCCCGCCCTGTCCCTTGCAGACCACTATGCCTTCCTGCTGGCAGTGATCTTTAGCTTCCTGCTGCCTCTGCTTCCGGGGGCCGGCCTGGCCTGGTGCTGCTACCGGCTGCAGTGGAGATACCAGCTTCAGCAGTGCCTGTGTGGCTCACGGAGGGGCAGTGGGTAAGCTCCGAGGGCTTAGTTCCCTGCTCCGTGAGCCTACTCCTGTGGTTCTGGCTCCTCAGAGTTCTGCTGGGTCTGGGGAAGCTGGGGTGGGGTATTCAGGCTTTGTCTCCAGGTGCAGAGGGTCAACTGAGGTAGTGGAAAGAAGCCTTGAGCAGGAGGCACCAGGGGCCAATGGTGCGGATCCATGCAGGACCCTCTACCCCTCCCTATTGCTGTGGTTTACAGTCGGCCCTCATTTATCGTGGTTAATGAGTTCCAGACTCTACTGCGATAAATGAATTTCCGCAAAGTAGGATTCTTGCCCTGGCCGGTTTGGCTCAGCGGTTAGAGTGTCAACCTGTGGACCAGAGGATTCTTTATTCATACACAGTCGTCCCTCGCCACTTCGCGCTTCAACTTTTGCGGCTTCACCGTGGCGAGGGACGACTGTAGTCCCTTTTTGTCCACTCTCCTGTTTCTCCCACCAGAGGGCTGCCTCACCTTTGACTTCGCCCTATTTTCCACCAGCTCATAATGCAGTTCCTGCTCCACTGTGCCCTTCAAGGTCCCTCCAGGCTCCTTCTCAGGAGCTTTCGGCCCTGTCATTTCCTCTGCCTAAATCTCTGCCGTTACCTCTTTCGAGATCCCCAGTGCTGGGCCGACACATCTTTTCATTCCACACCACTGGTCAACTATAGCACCAGCTGCCTTTGTGGCAACGGTTTGCCCTCCATGTCTTGGGAGGAGGGTCCCATAATACCAAGCAGGGTTGACCTAGGGCTGCCCCTTCACTGGCTGCTGGGCAAGTAGGCACCTTATGGCCACATCTGACACAGCCTGGCCTAGCACAGCTGAGGGAAAGGGTAGGGTTTGGGCTGGAGATAGGGACAGAGGACATCCCTGACGGGTGGGTACCAGCCAGGTTCCTGGTGCCAGGTGAGAGGGTCTTGACACAATAAGCGGTGGTTGCAGGTGGGCAGAGGTGCAAGGTGCTCAGAGCTGGGTGTGTCAGCATCAGGGGCCCTTCAGGGGGGCGGTGACTGCATGTCATTGCCAGGGCAGAGTCTTGAGGGCAGTAGAGACTGTTTTGAAGAGACTGGAAGGAAGTGGCAGGCCCTGGGAGATGGGGCACGAGCAGCCACGCAGGGTTTGGAGTCATCAAGGACAGCAGGGCCACCCAATGGCAAGTGGTGCAGGCAGAGCTACCACTAGGGAGTAAGTCCACCCTCTTTGATACCTGAGTGATGCCAACATCTAGAAGATGCCAGGGCTGGAGGGAGAAAGTGCCTGTACCCCTCTTCGGAGGGAGCAGGAAGTGAGCTAGAGAGAGTGACCTGGAGCAGAAGGGTGGAGACTCAATGCAGAAGGCAGAACACAATGAAACACTTGGGCCGGCACATGCTGCCCAGGGAGGGGGAGGGGCCGTCCTGCTCAGCATCACTGTTCCAACCTCCTGGCCTCTTATCTCACTGTTCAGGCCCAGAGATGGCCCACTCAGGGACCACCCCCTGGAGTTGGGCCCGATGACCACTGGGGAGCCCGGACCCCTGGGTGAGTGAGGTGCAGGGGGAGATGGGGAAATGAAGGGATGGACTCTTGGGCCCCCTCCACCCCACGTAGCACTCAGCCACCTTGAGTCCTCAGTGCCCTACCCGCCCTAGGGACCATTGCCAGCGTGTTCACAGCACCCATTCTCTGCCCACTGCCTCCAGACGTGGAGATCTCTGCCAGGGCCCAACGGCCACCTTGAGAAACCTGTGCTTCGTGGGCCTACCTACACCCCAAGGTAGGGGGGACCCTGATGTGGGGACCTCTACTTCCTATTGCCCCTCAGCTTTCCCTCAGCTCACTGTTCCCTACTCTGGGGTTTCTGAGCTTGAGTTCTGAGGTATGGCTACATGGAGAAGCTGTGGTTATGCAGGTCAGATGCCGGAGGCCTCTGGATCAGGGGAGGAAGTTTTGGTTCTTCTTGGGTCATCTGGACTCACTGAGGGAGGACAGGGGCTCCCTGTCCCACGACTTGCAGGCCGAGGTCCTAGTTCTCAGGGGATGACCCTTCCTCCTTTTTCAGCAGATCAAGTCCCGAAGCCAAGATCCTGTCTCTGGTGAGAGGGGGATCCTGAGATGAGGTCACTTAAAGACAGGTGGCTACTGACAGCCACTCCAAGCACTTGGACCGCCAGGGACAGAGCCAGCAAGACAGCTGACCTTCTGCACCTTGCCTGAGTTACCTCCGCCCTACCTACTCCAGGACCCCAGAGCCTCATCCGAATTTGCCCAATGTTATCCGCGTTCATTAGGTCTGGGATTCATGCCAGCCCAAGAAGCCATTTGTTATGTAAAACTTCCCAGGTCTGAGAGATCAAAGACAGGCTGACAACTCCATTACCAGAGTTTATTAAAAGAACTTATATACAAGGCATATCTTGGGCAGCGGCAAGACCAAATGGATATCCACCACACCATGTGGCGGGCACTAAGGGGTTATATAGGATGGGCAGGGTGGATAGGGCACTGGGGTGTGACCCACCCCAGATAAATGCCTGCCCAGGGAAGGGCAAGGGTCTGTTCCAGGAACCAGCATGCCTGGACGTAGGGGAGGGGTGAGCAGACCTCTGAGGGGATTTATGGGAAGTAGTCTCTGTTCTGACCCAGAGGATCTGGCAGCGGTTATGTCATGGAACAGTCTTGACTTCACACCATCAGTCCAAGGAGCAAAGGTCACATAGTCACTGACCTCCTGTCACTGGAGGAGGCTGGGTCACACTGGGCGCCGGGAGAGGCCTCTGTCGGGGAGGGTGTGGTCACACACTTCACCCGACTCAGCTCCGCAGAGGCATGACTGCTAGGTCAGAGCCTGGACTCGGGGACCCTACATTTCAGACTGAGCCCACTTCCTTGGAGCCCGGCCTCTGCAAAGCAGACAGAATCCTTGGGACTTTCCTTCCTCCCCCTTCCTGCCCTGTCTTGTCCCCCAGATGCTTTCTCAGCCTCTTCCCATACCTAGTCCTGCACCTGAGATTCTGGAGGCGTGTCCTCACTTTGGACTTTACTGAGCCTCCATTCCCTGGGAGGGGATTGAGAAAGGGCAGCAGAGAGCCCCTATTAGTCTCTTCTGTCTATAAATTCAACCCTGTGGGGTTCCCTGAGGGGTGATGGCTGGTGGGTGGAGTCTTAGATGGTAACCAGAGCCCCAGATGGACCTGAGCATAGGATGGTGTTGCCTTGGTTGAATCTCTTTGCCCCACTTGGACATTAGAAGCCACGTATCCTCTCCCCTTGCTTCATGCAAGAGTTGCGCAGTGACCTTCTGTGTCAGCTTGCTGTTGCTGCGTAACAACACTCCCCAAAAATGGAGTAGCTTAAACAACGACCAATTCTGTGATTGGCAAATTAGGTTGAAGTGACCTAGTGGTTTAATTGGTCTCAGCTGAACTCACTTATATGTTTGCTGTCAACTGCTGGTCAGCTAGGCAGTTCTGGGTTTGGCTGGCTTTGGCTGGGATGATGGGGCTCGATGGGCTGTGTCCCATTTTCCAGCAGGCTAGCCCAGGCTTGTTCACATGACAGCTGGGGAGGGAGCTAAGAGAGCAGGACCAGGGTTAGGATGAGGTAAGTGTGCCCACTTACTTTGGTTACAAAAAATAATAATCAAGATAAGTAATATTTTTAAAAAAATCAAAATTAGTGCTAAAAATCTATGATGAACAAAATATCAAAATTTTAAGTAAAGAGAGGATCCGTAACAGTGTCACACCAAGCCATGTGGGAGCCAGAGGCAAAAGGAAACATCAGTCATTGTGATCCAGAGGCAAGTTCCTCCCTCACCTCATCCTGCAAGAGATTAATTGGAAGCTTGCAAGGCCTCTTGAGATTCCATGACTGGCACATGTTAATCACCATACACTCTACTGGCCCAAGCAAGTTACAGAGCCAGCCCAGGTCTCAGGGGTTGGCAAGGTGTTGGCTAGGGTGGGGAGGAGATGACAGGTTTGCAACAGTGACTTTTCTTCCCCAACCTCTTCCTGACATGACCCACCCCCCTGGACTCCTGATGAAGGCCTGCTCACTACTTGAGAGCCCGAAAGTGGGACCATCTTTGCCATTTCTTCTCTACCCTCGTTTAGAGGGTGTCCTTCTCTGGACTTCCAGAGCACCTGGCTTCGCCTTGGTTATAACAGCTGTCATTGGATTCTCCTCCGAAGGCCAGGTGCTAAACCTGGCTCTTAAAAACTACCCCCTCTTGCCCTGGCCGGTTTGGCTCAGTGGTTGGAGCATTGACCTGCAGTCCGGAGAGACCCGGGTTCGGTTCCTGCTAAGGGCATGTAGCTCGGTTGCAGTTTGTCCCCCGGCCCTGGTTGGTCGTGCGGGTGGCAGTCACTCAATGTGTCCCTTTCATGTTGATGTTTCTCTCTCTCTCTCTCTAAAACAAAACAAACCCCCTCTTCTATCCCCCGTTTTATAGGCTCAGTAAGGTGAAGTGACAGGTCTGCCAGCGTGACTCCCGAGGGCCTCGGCCGGGCTCTGAGCCTGGGCTGGCCTTTCCCTAATGAACTTCAGTTGAAGGTGACCCGTTGGAAAGGAGAATGGAACCTCTAGTCCCTAAAGCAGAGGTGGGGGCGGGGAGTGAGGAGCCAAGCAGCACTCTAAGAATACTTGGATTCACTCATGGACTCTTCATACAAGCCCTGTGTTGTTGTTATTCCCCATGTTACAAATGGGGAAACAGGCACAGGAGTGAAAAACCATTGCAGAGGGTGTGAAGAGCGGGGGAATTTTTGCAAGTACGGAGGAGGAAGTCGCCAGCGCGGGCTTGCTGTCATTCTCGCAGCCAAGAGGCTGAATTAGACTGTTTCCTGAAGCCCTGTCCTGTGTTCTTTGTATCTGTGAGATTTTGAGTTTTAGAGATGACTGCATGGAGAGGTTAATGCCACTGAAGTAAGTTTTTATCCCTTACAGTTCCCAAGGAAAGGGGGCAAGCAGGGCCACATGGGGAGTCACCAGGCTTGGGAGGAAAGACGGGGGAGCTACCAGATTGGAGGGAATTAAGGCAATATGACCACTGAGTGCCATGAGGTGTCCTGGATTAAATCTTGGGACAGAAAAAGGACATTAGTGGAAAAGCTGGTCTGTAGTTTATTGTATTGTATTGTACCAATGTCAAGTTCCTAATTTTAACAACTATACTATGATTATGTAAGATGTTAACACGAGGGGAAGCTGTGGAAAAGATATAAAGGAAACACATTTTTGCAACTTTTGTTCAAGTCTAAAATTAGTTAAGAAGAAAAAGTTAAAAATAAAATTATAAAAGAAGGAAAAAAACAATGTTGTTTCATAAAGTCAACAGTTCAGCCCGGGAGAGACAAGGTCTGCTGGGGCGGTGCAGGTGTTGCTGTGGGGAGGAGGGGGCGGTGGGGTCCATCTAGACACACTCAGGCTCTAGATTCAGTGGCTCCTGGATTTACCTGAAGGTGCAGCTTAGGGAGGGGCCTCAGTGGGGGCGGGAGTCATGCAAAGGCTCCTCCCAGCAGCCGGAGGGCTTCTGTCAGCACTCTGCTTCATCCGCTTGGTGGAGCTGGGAAGAAGGCACCTGTCCCATTGGGGTTCAGCCTGGCCCGGTCCTCTCCTCTACAGGCCGCCATGGCCCACTGCTTGCAGCCCTTGCTGCTGCTGCTGCTGCTACAGCTGCTTCTGAGTAAGTGGCTGCCTCTTCCCCAGGACCCCTGAATCCTGGTCTCTCTGTCCCAGATCCTCAGGGACAGGGCAGCAGGTAAGAGGGTAATTCCAGAAAAAGCTGGAAGGCAGGCGGTGGCGCCAGCGAGAGATCTGTGCCTGTGGTACAGGGCACCCAGCAGTCGGCTCTGCAGCGCTCTGCTTGTTCATCCTGCCTCCTGTCTTCGGAGCCATCCCCCTTCCCAAGTACCACCTTGGTACCCCTGCCCCTGGAACTCTGTTTTTCCTCTGTCTCCCCTCTCTCACCTCGCTTACCCTTCCTCCAGCTCTAGCCCTCCACCTTCAGTCTTGGACTGGTTTCTTGCCCTGCATCTTCAGTGTCTCCGTGCCACTCACCTGTTGTTCCATCTGCTCAAACTGTCCCTTCCCCACCTGAAGTATCGTGGAGGGAAGAGTCATTTTACTGGGTGGGATGGGGAGAAAGAAATCAGACAAAGGTTTAAGGCAGAGGAGATTTTGGAGCTGAGACGTACTTTGTTGTTGTTTGTTAATCCTCACCTGAGGATATTTTTCCCATTGATTTTTAGAGAGAGTGGAAGAGAAGGGGAGAGAAAGAGAAAAAGAATCATTGATTGGTTGCCTCCTGCACACACCCTGACGGGCTGGAGATGGAATCTGCAACCCAGGCACGCACCCTTAATTGGGAATCAAACCTGAGACCCTTCGGTGCTTGGGCCAATGTTCTAACCACTGCGCAACACCAGCCAGGGAGAGATGTACTGTTTTGAGGGTGATGATGAGGTAAGGGATGAGGTAAGGGTGCTCCTGGCAGAAGGAGACAGGTATGCAAATGCGCAAAGGTGGAACCAAGACCTTCGGAGACAGACACTATGTGCTGTTGTGTGTGGCTGAGGCCTGGAAACGAGGGGATTTACTGGGAGAGAAGGGCAAAGTTTGGCTGCTGCTCTGTGTCCTGGAGGAGAAGGGGAGGAGAGGAGAGAGGGAGGGCTCACCCCTCTCCTGTAGACCCTCTCCACATACATACCCATTCCAAGTCCTTTGTTTCTGTCCATCCTTCCTGCAGCACGAGGGCACCGAAGCCACTGCAAGAATCACCATGGTCGCCAAAAGAGGTGGCCAGTGCCAGACAGGGGCCCTGCTACAGGCCCCTCCACACATACACAGTAAGATGGGTACAGGGCCAGGCTAGGAACTGTCCTGCCAGAAGTGAGATGCTCCCAGGAGCTCTGAGGACATGGAGGGCAGGGGTAGCCATGTTGACCTAGGTCCTAGGAAGAGAGGCTGCCAAGTCTTAACCTCTGGAGACCCTGCCTTGGTTGGATTTAGATGTGGCCTCCAGAACATCTGCACAGAGTTCACTCTCTGCCCAACCAACCCCTGAAGTGTGACTCTGTTGTGCCAGGTGCACTCTGCCCCCAGCTCTGACCTGTGGCACAGGATAGAGCCCTGTGGCCTGCCATGAGGGACTTCTTTCGGATCCATACCCTAGCAGCCAGGCCCTCCAGTGCCGAGCACTTCTGAGACCCTTCCCCCCCTTTGCCTGGCTGGTGGAGGGTGGAGGAACCAGGAGGAAACGAGTCTGGATGAGACAGCATGGGTTAGACCGGCCAGAAGGGAGCACCAGAAGGGAATGGAGGGGGTAGAATCCAGTGGCAAGGGCAGGGGGAGGCGCAGGTCAGGAAGGTGGGAGAAGCGGAAACCTATGGACCCATTCAAAGGGTCTCCAAGAGGGAGGGGGAGGAGAAGAAAGGAAGAAAGCTCCGCGTGCCAAAGAGAGAGGGCACCCGCAGACCCCTCTTTGAATGGGTGTGGCAGTTCTGGGAGAGGGGTGGTGCCTGGGGAGATGGGTCTGAGCCTCTAGGGGAGCCTCGGTGAGCCCCCTTCATCCCTGATGTGTTGCAGGAATCACCAGGGTCCGCCGCCGCGGACGGAAGGCAGTTCACACCTTCAGGCCACACTCTGCCCGCCTCGGCTTTTGAGCATGCCCCGTCTTAGGGGTAAGAGTCGGGGGTGAAGTGTGCCTGTGGACCCACAGAGACTGACTGCAGTCTGCCCGCCCCTCCACCAGGGTCTCCGAGCTCCGCCGCACGGAACCGATGCGTGGACGCCGCCGAGGCGTGTACGGCGGACGCGCAGTGTCAGCGGCTACGCACAGAGTACGTGGGGCACTGCCTGGGCCGAACCGCGTCCGGGGATTGCCCCCGCGCCCGCTGCCGCCGCGCCCTGCGCCGCTTCTTCGCCCGCGGATCGCCCGCGCTCACCCACGCGTTGCTATTCTGCTCGTGCGTCGACCCCGTGTGCGCCGAGCGCCGGCGCCAGACCTTCGTGCCCGCCTGCGCCTTCTCCGGGCCCGGCCCGGCTCCGCCCTCCTGCCTCGGGCCCTTAGACGCCTGCGAGCACAGCGGGGTCTGCAGGTGCGGGCGGGGCGGGGCAAGGCGGGGCGGGGCGGGGCGAGGCCTCCGATTCGCCATGTGCTTTCCCACCGCCCCGCGCAGGCCCCGCCTTCTGGCCTTCCAGGCCTCCTGCGCGCCCGCCCCCAGCGCCCCCGACGGCTGCCCGCCCGACCAGGCCTCCCGCTGCCTGCGCGCCTACGCGGGCCTCGTGGGTACGCGATGCCGGGGTCCGGGCCGGGCTGGGCTCTGCCGGGCTTCCTCCACCTGGGTGGGTCGATGACTCCGCTCTCGGGGTCCCCGCAGGCACCACACTCACCCCCAACTACGTGGACAACGCGAGCGCGCGCGTGGCGCCCTGGTGCGACTGCGGAGCCAGCGGGAATCGACGGGAGGAGTGCGAAGCTTTCCGGGAGCTGTTTACGGGGAACCGCTGCTTGGGTGAGGGGCCGAGGCAGGGCGGCGGGACTACAGCTGGCCCGTACTGTCCCCTACCGAGCCGCCTGAGGCGCGGGAGCCTATTTAGAGTTGAGGAAACAGGCTTTTTGTGGCAGTCAAGTAGGCCCAGTTCTCCCTCTCCTGTCGTCCTGCCCCTTAGGGAATCTGCGCTCAGCTGTGTCTGGAGACCAGGTGACCGACCAGGTAGATTCCTAGGGGTGTGTGGGCTGGCGCCCCTGCGGGCGGCAGAGGACCTGGAATGGAACCAGCCGAAATTCAGCCACTTCCGAGGCAGTTCTGCCTTCGAGGCGCTGCCAACTCCTCCCAGCGACAGTCTGGCCTTCTGGGTCTGAATAGCTTGGTGGTTCCCTGCCCAACCTGAGAGTTAGGGGCCTGAGTTTGAAGCCCTCCTCTAAGCTATTTTGTGTCCATCTGTAAAATGAGGGTGATACTTGTCACTCTCCCCAGTGAGGATGGAAGACCCCAAGGTTTGTAAGGCACTCCTACCACAGTTGTCCTTTGTTATTCCTCACCCTGTACCTTCCATCCCGGAAGCCAGTCCTTGCAGACATTCTGTGTTCCCATCCTTTCCTAGACGAGGCCACGAAGGATGCCAGAGGTCTCTCAATTTGTCCCAGAGGAGCTGGCCCCTGTGCTAGGGTTTCCCAGCCAAGCTCACCCTGGATCCCTCCTTCTATAGATGGTGCCATACAGGCCTTTGACAGCGGGCAGTCCCCAGTTCTGCAGGACCATCCAGACTCCCATCAGCACAGCCTCCTGCAGGTAGGTACAGGTATGGGATGGTGAGCTGGCACCCCCTGAACTGCTTCTTCCATCCTTCCATGCCAGTTGGGCCTAGATGGATGGGGGTGGACGCACAGAGCAGAGCCAGGCTTCTGCCTCAATCTCACACTCTGCTCCCTCCCCGTAAGGTGTCCTCTGCAGATGGGCCCCTGAAGGGGTGCTCCCTGCTCTCCATGCTCCCTGTCCTGGCTCTCCAGCCTCTACTCTGACTAGGACAGCAGATCTTGAACAGCACAGCCAACTAGCCCACCCTGCCTGAGGTACACAGCTACCCCTGTGGCCTACTGCCCCACTGGAAAGGAACTGATGTACCTCCTATGCTGGCCCCAGTGCTCTTGCTCTGCTTCCCTTTGCGGGTCTGGACATTCTGTATGCCTGTCCCCTGGAGTGAGGCATAGAGGCTGCAGGCCTGATCGCAAAGCCCATGGTTTCCTTTTCAGTAGGTTTCTTGGTTGTAGGTCTCTTTCTCCACAGACCTTGGCACAGTTGGGGTTTCCCACATGGTAGGCATGGGAGGGGGTCACCTGTGCAGCTGAGGCCTTACCAGGGCCCCAGATAACCTAGAGAAGGTCAGAGACCATCTAAACTCCCAGAATTATAGATTTTATCAGCCCCATCCCCAAAGCAGATCATGCCTTAAGGAGTACATCTGAACATACTTGTTACACTGCAACTTTTCAAGGCACCCTCCCAGTTAGGCACCACCCATGATCATAATCACCTGTGCCCCCATGACAAACGCTGGCAGTGCTTCCTGTCCATGATCTGTTGCTTTGTGGGTACCAACTGGAGTAGGTGAGAATCCAGTCCCCTGCATTGCACTGGCCATAAGTCTACCTTCCCCATGGTTTAACCCAGCACTGGGAATAGCATCCGCAGCTCAATAAATCCATGTGCACTGAGACTGGCCTTGCTTTCATGTGATCTGTGTTCTGGGACCCATGGTTAGCTACGGGGTGTGTTTCTGTTGGCCTGTGTGACCTCGATGGTCTCAGAACCCCCTGAGCTCTGTCTCCTCACCTATAGATGCTGAACCGAATCAAATATCAGATCCTAGTGGCAGGGATTTGGGTTGCTTTCATCTATTTTTTTCCTTCTCTGCTAGTACTCAGATAAAGTAACTGCATCTCCCAGCCTCCCTTGCAGCTAGGGGTGGTCATGCGACATAGCTCTGACCAATGAGTGGAATTCACAGATGAGGCTTCCAGGAGAGCTCTAAACAGGAATAGACTTGCTGACTGGCCCCTTGAGACTCTGGCCTCACTCTCCCCTCTTCTTTTTTTTAATTATAAAAACATTTTTTTTCTTTATGGATTTTAGAGAGAGAGAGAGGAAGTGAGAGGGAGAGAGAGATAGAAACATCGATGAGAGAGAATATCGACTAGCCGCCTCCTGCATGCCCCCTCTGGGGATCAGGCCCACAACCTGGGCATGTGTCCTGACTGGGAATCGAACTGGCGACCTCTTGGTACATGGGTCGACACTCAACCACTGAGCCACACTGGCCGGACTCCCCTCTTCTTGCTTAGAGCACAGTGGCAATGCCTGGGGAACTGGGCACCATCTTGAAAATTGAGCCACTGCTCCAGTTCCAGTTCCAGTCCGCTTCCCTCTGGGCTCGTTAGTGCCTGAGAAAAATGACACCTCTAATTTGTTTAAGGCAGCAGGCATCTGTTATTTGCAGTCAAACACAGGTCTTGATTGATACATTCCCACCTCTGAGGTGCCTGGGAGCCCGGGATCACCTACCGTCCTCACTCAGGGGAGCTCCGCCTCAGTGCTCACAGAGTCAGCCCTGACAGACACTTGAAAGAAGGGTTGATGGGGGTTTCGTTTTTCATTCCTGCATATTCTACCTGCTTCTGTCCATGTGGAGAGTCAGATTCTTTCCTGGAGCTGAGGAAAATTTATCATAAAGGTTTTTGTGAACACTCATGTGTGTGGCCACTGTGCACCCAGCAAATGCTAAGGGTGTTGTGTTAAATTTCATTTCTGCAAAGGAGTTTGGGGAGGAGAGGGAAGAACAACAGGGACCAGGTACTAAGCCTCCTGCCCTCTTCCTTTGTCCTCAAAATCTCGGAGACTCCTGATCAGCCAAGGGATCCCTGGTCTCCAGGCTGCCCTTCTCACCCCTGGTTGAGGTTTGTCAGGGCCGTGAAGCCAGTGGAAGTGGAGGCTGTGGTCCTTGCTCAGAGACCACTCTCCCCAGTGCTACCCATCCCCACGCTGCTGGAAATGTTGGCTGTGAACGTAGCTCACAGCTGCCCCGTTCTCTAGAAGAAATGCCTGTAAAGTTATACTCTGCTGCCTGGCACTGACTGCAGCCAATGACTGGCTGAAGTTGGGGGGCACAGAGGCCTAGCCTGCCTGCCTCAGGGGGTACAGTTCTGTGTGCCAATCGTGCTCCAGAGCTTCATGCTTGATCCCAGCTGAGGCCACATCTTAGTTTAGCTCTATCCTCTGCCCACTCCTGCCTCCTTCCCTTAGGAGGTTCCCCTGAGGGTAATCCCTTCAATAAATCCGGGCCTGAGAATTCCTATCTTGGGCCCAGTTTCTGGAGAACATGACCTAAGATACAGGTTAGGTACAGACCACACCAAAGCCCAAGCTTGGCGCTGTCCTGACCAGAAAAAAAGCCACCAGGTCTGAGACTGTACATAGCAACTCATACTAAACCCACAGACACCCTGTGAGGCAGCTGTCAGCCAGCCTCCCAGCTTCAACCAGTATTCTTCTGATTGAAACCAATCACAAATCCAACTGGCCTGGGCATGCGACCCAGCTGTCCGAGCTTCGGGCTCAGCTGTCTCCAGGGGTGCAAATGATGCTGTCCCTGCTGGGCTGTGCGTGGCTTCCACCGCAGGGCAGGTAAGAATGCCATCAGCAGCCCCTAATCTCCCATCTCTCCTTGTAGCATTCTCAGCAGAGAAAGGCCCCTCTCTCTCCCAGCATCTGTGGGACCCTGGTGGTCCCAGCATGGGTTCTAAGCCCCTTCCAGGGGCCTGGGGAGTGACTCAGCACACTGAGATCCCATGGAATGGGAAGGCAGTTTTCCAGTGGATAAAAGGAGGGGTACTGGGCAAAGTGAGAGTCCAACCTTTCCTCACTTGATGAAGATGAAGGACTGTTCTCTGCCACCTACATCTGCATGGGAGGGGACACCTGTGAGTGGGCGGGGAGATGCGGTAGGCACGTGTGTGTGGAGCTGTTGGGAGCAGGGTGGGGCAGTGAGAGCATCACCAAGCTCTGCTCACCGTGATTGCATGGTGGCCCAAACACAGAATTAAATACCTGCTAAATGCCCTGGCCGGTTTGGCTCAGCGGTTGGAACATTGGCCTGCGGACCAGGTTCGGTTCCCGCTAGGGGCACGTACCAAAAAATAAATAAAAATAAACAAAATAAATATCTGCTAAAAAACTTGCCTTATATGAGAATGTGGTAAACTCTCTTTCTCCATGTTTCACTCAGATAATTGGAGTAAAACATAGGCATATACCTTTCAAAGGTTGGAAGAGAAAAGTGAGCAGAACCTAGCTGAAAACTACACAGGTGTCCCATGGTGGCAGGCTGTCTTCCTTCAGTACTTCTCTCCAAGCAAACTCAGGTTTAACCAAACGGCGCCTCTTGAACATCAATGTGCAACGGAAAAGGGCCTTCCTTACTGGGTGCAAGGGGAAAATGAAAGGTCCCAGGGCCCTGGCTCTGTTTTCCCCACAGTGAACATTTAGTGTGGGCGGACTGAGGCTGTCTGGGGCACGGAGGGCTGAGGTGTTTCAGTCTGCAGAAGCCACCGTCTTGCCTCTCCTGAGCCAGTCGACTTTCTGAGGGTTTTGTTGATGTAATGAGCTGAACGGTGGCTACAAAGATATGTCCACATCCTCAGCTGTGGAATGTGAATGTTACCTTGTATGTTGGCAAAAGAGTGAATGTTACCTTATATGGCAAAAGATTTGATTAAATCACGGACCTTGAGAGGAGGCACTTATCCTGGATTACCCGCCTAGGCCCTACGTGAGTCACAGGCATCCTTCCGAGAGGCAGAGGGAGCTGAGACAGGCAGAGATGGGGGTGATGCCGCCACAAGCCATGGAATGTTGGCAGCCACCAGAAGCTAGAAGAGGCCAGGATGAACCCTCCCCTAGAGCCTGTGGAGGGAGCACCGCCCTGCCACACCATGATCCCAGACTTCTGGGACTGTGAGAATGTCTGTCTGTTGTTTCAAGTCAGCAAGTTTGGGTATTTCATCATCGCAGCCCCAGAAAATTAATAGAGTTGTCTAAGGTTGTGAGAGTCTGGTTTCTGTCCCTTCTACCTTAAAAGGTCCTGGCTCATACATGGTGTTAAGTCTGGCCAAACACCTCAAGGCTGAGTCCAGCTGTGGCCCCCACAATCGGGAAGGGGTCCTGCCAAGCTTGTCTACATCTGGGTGTCAGCCTCTGTGTCCTATTGCAGTCACTCTGGTGCACGCTGGGAGACTGTGGTCCTGGCCCTGGCCTCATCCTGTGACTGGGTCTCTGTTAGCTGTTGTCAACATTGAGCCTCTGGCAGGCAGGTGGCTGGGGGCAGGGAGTGAGGCAGCAAGGCAGGTGCTGGAAGCTTCTGTTGATTTATTGGTGGAAACTTCATGGCTCATGAATGCCCATTCTGGCTTGGAGCCTGATGTCTAAGGCACAAGGTTGATGTGGAAACTGCTCACTGCCCACCACCCTACCCTTCCCCTCCCCACCTGAGAGAGGCTAGGCCAATCTCACAGAACCAGCTCATTTTTACAGAAGTGTGGACATTGGCAGTGAAATTTCCAGAGGAGGAGGAGGACAGGGGCTCTGCAGGGCTTCAGGAGACATCCCCCACCCAGACAGAAAGTCTGGCACGCTGTGAGAGGAGGCAGAGACATGGCCTACCCGGTGGGCTGCAGGTCCGGAAAGGCCCAAGCTGAAGGATGTCTTGGGAAACTCTTCGGCCAAGGACATGTCACCCCACAGTCCAAGATAGAAGATGCTGAGAGGAAAATTAAGATGAGTACACGCACAGCAGAACAAAATACACAAATACAAACTTACAAACTGAGTCCTCAAGGGACTGGGGTTGAGCAAATGAGGGAAGGCCCACAGGGTGTGAAGGGGCCTGGCTGCAGGGCCAGCCCTGCTCCTTGTGCAACATGCTTCATACACTGGGATCATCTGCCCCGAGTTGGGAACACAAGATGGAAGAGAATTCTTTCCAGGCATGTTATACAGCCAGTAATGCAGGCTGCAAGGTGTGTCTGCTCAGATGCAGCCCACACAGGAATGTGGGCTGGGGACTCAGTTACCAGGAATGACATTGCTGTTGGTGACAGAATTTTCCAAAAGGATGACCAGATCTCGGTAAAGTTATAAAGAAAATGAAATTTGTCTTCCCTTGATTTACATAATGGTTGCAGTCCTGGAAAACTGTCTGTGTATTAAACCAGCTCTCAAATACTCTGTGTTTATAAAAGGGTTGAATTATACACAGAAATAATTAGGAACCAGTTTTCTCACATATACAAATATCCAGCAAGATGTTTGAAAATCAAGTGGAATGTGCCCTGGCCGGTTTGGCTCAGCAGTTAGAGTGTCGGCCTGCGGTCCGGAGAGACCCGGGTTTGGTTCCTGCTAAGGGCATGTACCTCGGTTGCAGTTTGTCCCCGGCCCTGGTTGGTCGTGCGGGTGGCAGCCACTCGATGTGTCCCTTCACGTCAATGTTTCTCTCTCTCTCTCTCTCTCTCTCTCTCTCCCTCCCTCCCACTCTATCTGTACAAAAAATGGAAAAATATCCTCGAGTGAGGATAAAAAAAAAAAAAAAAATCAAGTGGAATGTGGGTCAACTCCTGGTTGGGGAGACAGTCATGCATGCGACAGGATGACCACCTTCTGGCCCATTCACTAAATCGCAGCAATAATGCAAATCACCTCCACCTGCACTGGTGGAGTCTCGTGCTGGTTGAAAACTACTGCCCCACAGGACCTGCCGACCCCAACTCCTACCTCTGCTGCTGCAGCCCTCTTCGCTTTTGCCCACCACTTTGTTTCTGCTGCCACCTCCTGGCCTCCGTGCCAGCCCCCTCCTCCCTTCAGTTCTCTGCTTAGCTGTCACATCAGAACAGCCCCCCTCAGCACCATGTAAGATAGCAGTACCCCCAGCACTTTCAACCAACCCTATCTTTACTTTTCTTCACAGAACTTACCACCTGACAGTGTACTCCACGAGGAAAGAGACTGGTGTGTGTTTTGTTCCCCGTGGAATCCCTGATCCCTACATAATGCTGTGCCAGGCAGGACACCCTCTGACCCACCTGTACAGAAAGGACGAGCATGGCAGACACACAGCAATCACTGGCCTGTGGGGATTTTTAAACTCTGCTAGGCCCTGCCGTGGGGTGGGGGGCCCCATCGGAGGTGGCCCAGGGTGCGCGCTCCTCAGACACAGCTTTCACTGCCGTCTCCTGCCTGCAACTGGTTCTAATTGTTTCCTCAATAGTCCCAGGGTTGTTTTCATTTCTAAAGGTTAGGCTAATGGTTTCTCTGGCAACACAATTCCCTCAAAAACATACACTTTTTATTTTCAGTGCAGGTCCAGTGTCAGTGATGACACCCCTGGTTCTCTCCTGGACACAGTTCTGGAGTTGACTTTATTGCTTTGCTTCCTTATCCACATGCCTCTCTGAGATGACGACCTTGGCCTTGAAGCTGTGAGGCTCCAGGGGGAGACCACATCCATCCTTGATTCTCACCTGGAAGCAGAGTCACTAAATGTCACCAGGTCTTTGTTGCTCACAGGTACCTCTTACTGTTTGGAGACTAGAAGCAAGACTAGTTGGCTTTTCCAATACTCCAAGACTCTGGATGATTTCAGGATTCTTCACCCCTTTCCCTTCTGCTTTGTAACTAATTCTGGAACTCAACTCTTTCTTGTGATGCCGAAAGCAGCCAGTAACAACCAACATATACTGTATTCTGTTTTTCCACCTTCGTCCCTTGAGCTAAAAATTCAAGATCACAAGTCCTTTGCTTTCCAAGTGATCAAACGTGACAGCCTTACCAGGTGGTTTGCCACTGTCTGGTGGTCCCCAGCCGTTCTGCCTGCTGCATCTGTGTGCCTGCCACCTGGCCTCTAAGCCAATGCCACGTTTTAAGTTTTGATTACAGCTGCCTTCCACTTTAGGGGACCAATTTCTGTATCAGTGACAGAAAAACTACCTGTTGCAATAAAGCCTCAAATCAGTGGGTCAGGGGAGTGAAAGTTTGCTTTTCAATGATGCAAAGACCAGCACACAGCTTGCCACCCAGGTGGCCTGCCCCTAAAGGGTGACTCAGTGACCCACTTCCCCCAACATCTTCAACACCTGACCCCTCACTTCTTCCAACACTTCTTTCAATTTATGGCACCAACCTAACTGCTAAGGAGTTGGGAGATGATGCTGTTGACCTGGGCATCCAAAGGCAAAATGTAACAGGTTTGAACACACAGCAGTCTGCCACAATACTACGCAAGCACAGGTTTTTATCCTGTCAGGAACACTTGACGGCTCCCAGAGCCCTCCCCAGAGAGTTTCAAGGTCTTCCCCAACCTTGTAGCAGCCACCAGTCCAATGGTTTTCCTCCCTGGCCCAGGCCCAAGTTTGGTTGGGCACCTCTAGCTCCCTTCCCCACAGCCGGCTTGGGCCTTGTGTCTTGCCAACCCTCCCCTGTATGAACCATCTTTCCTTGCGCTTCCTCCAATGTTCTCAACTGTCATGGTGCTCAATCTCATCCTTCTGGGCTTTTGCGCTCTGCACCATGGCACTGACATGCAGTCCTGACCTCATTCTGAGCACAGGAGCTGCATACAGTGTGGTGGGCATGCAGAAAGCCTGCAGACAAGTCTCTGTGAATGGACATATAAGTTCATCAAAAATTCAAGACCAGCCCTGCCGGTTTGGCTCAGCGGTTAGAGCGTCAGCCTGTGGTCCAGAGAAACCTGGGTTCAGTTCCCGCTAGGGGCATGTACCTTGGTTGCAGTTGTGTGGGTGGCAACCACTAGATGTGTCCCTTTCACATCAATGTTTCTCTCTCTTTCCCCCTTCCCCTCTATCTGAACAAAAAATGTCCTCGGGTAAGGATAAAAAAAAAAAATTCAAGACTAGTGACCATGCTGGGCCATGGGCACGAGCCCTATCAGCACACCTGAGAGTCAGGAAGTCCGGAAAACTTAGACATTCAGGAGCCCAGGAGAAGAAGTGCTGGGAGCCCAGGGGACTGGCAGGCACAGCGTCTGAGCGGACGGCTCCGCACACGTCTCGTCGCTTCAAGCACACGGTATAGTGGGGACATTAGGCAGTTTCCCCAGAGGTGTCTGAGGTGCCCACCCTGCTGGCTTTACACCTTTACCTTCGACTGCCAAGTGCCTCCTCTGAGGCAGTCTGGAATTTGGGAATCATTTTACATTTTTTCCCTTAAGGCTCTAATGACCAAATTGTTAAAATAAGTGAAAAAAACAAAATCAAAATTAAAGACTCAGAACAAAACCCCACATTTTTACCAGAGCTACTTTTATTTCAGAAGAAAGTTTGTAGTACAGTATTTACTTTTGTTTATATACAAGTTCTTCACATTTGTGTTTAAAATGCACAGACCTCCCTTAATTCTCTTGTTCCTGCTTAAATTAGCTGTTATTTTACAATACAAAAAATACCAAAAAATTGCAGTCCTAAATGTATGTATAATACCCACAATCCCCAGCAATGAAATAGTTTACAATACTTACTCCATATTTACATGAGTGCAATAGATGCTAAATTATACATATTAACAAACTAAGCTTGAATCCAAACAAACAAAACGTAAATAACTATAGAACAAAACATTTCCAGAGCCAGAATTAGTTCAATGAAACAGGCTTCACTAGTGTTTAGAATGTTTTGTGCACAAATTCAGTTACTGGAAATCGCTTCCATTATTGTCTTTAAAAGAGAAGGCCTTGGTTTCCGCCTCCTCTCCAGATCATTTCCCTGCAGGCAAGGGTGTTTATTAGTTTGAACCACTCAAGGGAAATGTCTCCTGGCAGGCCTATCTACAAACCATCACCATGATTTCTGAAGTGGAGTTTGGTAAGCTGGGTAAACATTTCAGACTGGGAGCTGGTACACAGCCAAAGGCAGACCCGGGGTCTGTTCTCAGGATGGCCAATTCTCACAGAAGCCACAAGGAAAGATCTCCTGGGACAATGTGTTTGGGAGCTGGATTCTGTTGTAATTCTGGAGCTGCTTTTTTTCATCTCGGTCACTGCCCTAGTGTTAGCTTAGGTTGTTTGTAAGTGTGTAGTGATTATTTGTGGAATGAATGAAACTGAAGGATTAAAGGTGTTCAGGACGAGGGCACCATCACTCAAGGAAGTGAATCACTCCCATCCCACCCAAATACATTCCATTAAGTTGAAGGAGTAAGATTTGCACTGAAGGTAAAATGTCCTTTTCTGACAGTGCCCTGGTCCTTCTGTTTGCCCCAGATCTTCCGGTGTGTCTCCACTCCCGCACCCCTGGCCTCACCCAGGTATTCCCAGGTTTCCCTTTTGCTGCCAGTCTTCTGTCCAGAGCTGCTTTTCTTCTGGGATAGCTCAGGGGAGTGAGTTGCCTTCTCTCCACACCTCCTCCCACCTTTTGGAGGTGATCCCCAGAGGGAAGCACAGACTTCTCCCTAAACTGTGCGCAGAGAGGTGGGTAGGAGAGGGCGGGAGGCCAGGGGGTGTGCAGTTCTCCATGGGAAACAGGAGCTATGAATCAACAAACTAGCCACCCCACCCCACATCCAGTTTCCAGTATAGTAAACTATGATCCTGGGAAATGATCATTAAAAATTTAGACAAAACTAGAACAAAATGCAGCCTGGAAACACCCTTTTTGGAAAATCTGATTTCTACAGGTATAATCTTTGAACTTAAAGACTTCGAGAAACATGTCTTAGGATGAGACTGGCTGTCCCTGGCCACCCACAACACCAAGAGGACGGCAGACAGGTTCACGATGCACTTGCAGAGCCCACACTAGCAACAGAAAGATCCCTGCTCCCTTCAAGCCTCCTGCTGTTTAAGTGAACGCGCTGCCAGTTTTCTCTTGTGTGCTGACAGATAATTCAGGTGTTAAGGGTTATCCAGTTGGTACCAGATGCATTTGAACACATTGGCATGATGGGGGGCCCTCCCTGGCTTTTGTTATCGATGCTTCAGGGCCTAACAAGAGGAATTCTCTGAACTTGGATATCCAGTATATGGCACAAAAACATATTAGGTGAAACTGAGATGCCGTTACATTTAATAAAAATACATTTAAATATTTTTCTGTTTTATGTACACTCCGAATGTCTGAACATTCCGGACACTACTGTATAGTTATGTACAAGTGCAATATCAATGTTGTCATGACTACTTTAGTTTATTTACAGGCTCTCACGTGACATGCAGGCATCTCTGAGGTTCCAGGTGACACCCTCTCGGTAACCGGCTCTAAGTCAAGTGCCCTCTCTCCTGCCATTCCCCTCTCCTGGCCCGAGCCTGGAGGAAGCCATCTGCTATGGGCTGCAAAGGAGAAGCAGGTGGATTCAGCTGTTTCTCCACTGTTGGAGCAGAATTAAACTTCATTTGCTCCTTTCTTCCTTTCTAAAACTAAATATTATCCTTTAGGAAAATAAAAAATAACCAGGTGGCTGTGGGACACGGTGCATGTTATTTCAAGGCATGGTCTACAGTGAGGAAGAGACTTCTTTGGCCAAGGGAAAATGAGTTCCTTAGAACAAACAAGGATTTCCTTTGTGGCAGGATCCTCTCCAGGGCCTCCCTCTTGGCCATGAGGCCTGTGGTAATCACAGAGGTGAAGGGCCAGTCTATGGCAAGCTCACTGGAGGTGTCGTGACCTGGAACAGGGATGTGGGGAGCTTGTGGAGATCTTTTCTAGAACCATCTGTTCTTTTACAGTGATGTGAAAACACAGCTTTTTGAGAGGTGAGTCTCAAAGTAGAGGTGTTTTGTGCACCAAACAGTATTTTATGGTTCAATTTCTCTGAAAACATCTTTCCAGACAATTCTTCATGGAAGTGGGGTCGGTCAGTACTGGGGAAAAGATAATACTCCTTCTCTAGGCACTGCATTTAAAGGTGAAATGCCGCAGTTTTTGCTTTTTCTGAGTATTTATTTCTCCAAATTCACAAACTTGAGCATTGTTGTCTAGAGGTCCATCCCCAGGTTTTGAAGCAAAAGAGAGGTCTTGGGAGGCTGCTGCATAATGCCAGAGTACAGAGCACCATAGACGGACAACACGATGTCCAGGCAGTGCCCTGGGAGGAAAGCTGGACTGCCCACCCCACTTGAATTTGGTCACTTCCCATTTGGCACAGTTTTCTCTTCTTGTCCATTTTTTTCCATGTGCTTTTCATCCTTTTAGTGTTGACTGCCCTCCCCACAGCCACTATCTGGGTCTGAGGAGGAGGAGTTCTAAGAGCCCAGCCCTCCTCCAGGCTTTGGGCAGGTTCTGCTCACAGTGGGAGACTGTCCCTGTCCTGTCCTGTGTGTGATTCCACCGCAGCCTGCGATGGCCCACAGCTTGGAGCAGGCGAAGGAACAGAGTCGCTCTTTGATCCAGGTGCTGTCATGCTCTTCTGCTCAAAGGAGACATGTAACAGGAGTGAGTCCTTTCTTCTGTGTCGCCCTGGCAGCAGGAGGCCAGAAAAGCTGAAGCAAACATCAGGCTTAGAGTGACTTGGAGGCAGGGTGACACATGGGGATCACACTTAGTGTCCTTTTTGACAACAATACAAGCAGGAGCTTTTACAGTTAGGTGATTTCCGCTTCCTTCTCAGTCCTTGCTGCTGGGATAAAGGTTGCTTGGGGTGAGAATTCTTTCCTGGCTGCAAAGTACATTTTAGAAAAAAAGCAGATTGCCAATGGTAGCTATTTAAATTTTATAAGAATGTAGGAATGCAATTATGTAAAAACTTAGGCTTACTAACTTTCCAATTGCTAGATCTATTTAAAGTCTAGGCACTTAGTGTGTGTGTGTGTGTGTGTGTGTGTGTGTGTGTGAGAGAGAGAGAGAGAGAGAGAGAGAGAGAGAGGGAGAGAGGAAGAGAGAGAGAGAGGAATTTCAAATGGATTAAGACTAAAGTAATCAAGTAGCTATAGAAAACTAATTATAATACTAGTTTACATTCTAAGTAACACTGCCGACCTTGACATTTAAAATAGCTCCTTTCTATTTCAGTTTAATATGATTCAAAAGAGATGGACCATTATTAGTTCTCAACTAGAAAAAAAGCTTCTCCCTGGAAGAGAGGTATCTGCCTAAAACGTGCAAAGATTAATTGCACATCTTTTTAAAAAGATAGCAGGCTTCAGATGAAAAGAAGTCCATTCACCTGACCAGTTTTGAAAAGACCTTGTTCCAGAACGACTGATGACACATGTTTACTTGTAAACACTACATCTTTGTTTTTTGCACAGTTGAGACAGTCCCAAGACCAGTTTTCCACAAGTAAACCTGAGTATCATTCCTAGGTCTCTCACTGGCTCCACATCAGCCTCCTCCAGCAACATGTGGATCACCCCAGGACCTGTAAGTAAATCAATTATTTCCTATGCAAAAATAAAAAGTTAGATGCTGGAGCACAGATGGGAGAAACTGTCAAAGAAAGCTTGTGAACATGCAGATGAGTCGATGTTTCCAGGTGGAGGGTTCCAGTTTTCTGCCCTGCTCCGCTCCGCACAGTGTCTCCTGCCTGCTCCCTCCCTGCAGACAGCTCTAGCACACCACACCTCGCCACACTTCGCTCACTCACGGAGAGTCCCTGGCCCCAGCATCAAATGCAGGTCCCAGGCTGCGCAGGGGGCTGCTGCTTCCGGTTTCTCACGACTCCTGACTTCTCTTTGTACACTATTGGCATCTGCTGAGAGATGTCCACCAGGGCGCTGGCTACTGCGAGACCTTGGGAGAACCCACAGAGGGAACACATGTTAATGAGCAGCTTGCTTTTATATTTTAAAATAATTTTAAAATTTCTGTTTACATTCCCATGGTGCAATAAATAAAGCACTCTGACCCTCCCTCCACCTCTCCCCTCTCCAGCTGAGACACTGCTTTCATTAGTTTGCATATATTGTTTCAGGGTTTAGTTGTGCAAATACAAATACATATTCTTTGCCCCTCCCAATTTACACAAAAGGTATAGCTTGCTTTTCAGATCAATACAGCCAAGTGTTCTGCCTGGTGGTGGGAGCATTTTTTTTTTTATCCTCATCCGAGGACATTTTTCCATTTTTTGTTCAGATAGAGTGGGAGGGAAAGAGAGGAAGAGAGAGAGAGAGAGAAACAACGTCATGAAAGGGACACATCGAGCAGCTGCCTCCCACACGACCCAACCAGGGCCGGGGGACAAACTGCAATCGAGGTACGTGCCCTTAGAGGGAACCGAACCCGGGTCTCTCTGGACCGCAGGCCAACACTCTAACTGCTGAGCTAAACCAGCCAGAGTGGGAGCATTTAAGTAGGATTGCAGGCATACTTGAAGCACTAAATTTCTGCTGCCTGCCTCCAAAGGGACACCAGGAAAAAGCAGCACTCTTCACAATGTAATTCAGATTCATTCCACATTGCCCAGCCAGCACTAGTGATTTTTTATATCTATACCATGATACGGGTTAGGACAGACTCTGGAATAAACAAGGTTCTTTAACCTCCCTGTGCCTCCGTTTCCCCATTTGTAACATGGGGAATAACAACAACACAGGGCTTGTATGAAGAGTCCATGAGTGAATCCAAGTATTCTTAGAGTGCTGCTTGGCTCCTCACTCCCCGCCCCCACCTCTGCTTTAGGGACTAGAGGTTCCATTCTCCTTTCCAACTGGTCACCTTCAACTGAAGTTCATTAGGGAAAGGCCAGCCCAGGCTCAGAGCCCGGCCGAGGCCCTCGGGAGTCACGCTGGCAGACCTGTCACTTCACCTTACTGAGCCTATAAAACGGGGGATAGAGGAGGGGTTAGTTTTTAAGAGCCAGGTTTAGCACCTGGCCTTCGGAGGAGAATCCAATGACAGCTGTTATAACCAAGGCGAAGCCAGGTGCTCTGGAAGTCCAGAGAAGGACACCCTCTAAACGAGGGTAGAGAAGAAATGGCAAAGATGGTCCCACTTTCGGGCTCTCAAGTAGTGAGCAGGCCTTCATCAGGAGTCCAGGGGGGTGGGTCATGTCAGGAAGAGGTTGGGGAAGAAAAGGTCACTGTTGCAAGCCTGTCATCTCCTCCCCACCCTAGCCAACACCTTGCCATCAGGGAGAACCGGCTAACGTGGTGGCAGAAGACTGCCCCAGAGTCTGCAGGTCAATAGGTCATCCTGCACTCAACACAGACAAGGGATGAAACTTACAGGAATCCCTAGGGGAGGGTGAATCAAGCTGTTTCCCTACAGAGTGAAGGCAGTGCATCCTGGCCGGCTGTACCCAAAAGCCTCCCCTTGTAAGACACCTTAGACACAGACCCCCTGAAAGCTGAGCTGGAGGCTCTTCGGGTCACCCTCGGGGCCATGGGGCTCAGAGCCTGGGCGAGGATTCTGGGTCACACTTTCCTCACAGACACAAGGCTTTTTTTTTGGAGAGGCAACCCTGATCCCAAGAATCGTCTCAATTGAAAGTTGTATTTATATTTTCAGAGGCATCTCTCCAAAGTAGTCGATGATTTATCAAGATATTTCAAAATTGTACTCCATCTTTCCTTCATGTTCAACAATAAGACAATGTTTATCTAAATTATGATTCATGTATCTGATGGAACAGTGTAAAAGAGATTGGTAAATTATTACGTAGTAAGCTGTAAAACTGTTTATGAAAAGTTATATAAAAAATAATAAAAATAAGAGTGATACAAACATTTCAACTAAATTATTGGCAAAGGTTGGAAAGGAAACAGAATAGTGAAAATTAATGGGTGTTAGATAGCAGAACTGAGTAAATTTTCAAAAATTTCCTTTAAGTTGTTATAATTGCTCTTTGTGCCTTACATTTTAAACAGAGTGAAAAAAAACCCTGGCCGGGCAGCTCAGGTGGTTACAACATCATCAGATATGCAAAGTTTGTGGGTTCAATCCCTGGTCAGGGCACACATAAGAAGCAACCAATGTGCATAAAAATAAGTAGAACAAATGGATGTTTCTCTCTCTAAAATCAGTCAATAAAAAATGTTTAAACACAGTGAAAAAGCAAGTGAAATACCAGCTTGAGACCCACCAGCTTGGAGGAGCTGGCTGGAAGCCACGCGAGCAGGTAGGGTGGCAGGAACTAGTGACGTGAGGAGGCAGAACGCCTACATTTAGGGGCAGCGCAAGGAGAGAGAGGAAGGAGCAGCAGAGCCAGAGAAGGCCAGACACCCTGCAGGCAGAGGAAGGTGTGCTGCGAAGCATCGATATCACGGGGAAGCTGAGGAAGCTGGTGCAGTGAGGGGAGCTCTGGACTTTCCCCAGGGAAGGAACGGTGCCCTCAGGAAAGACAGTGAAGGAAATCCAGTGACAATGGAGTTGCCACTGAATCCTCACAACGACATGAGGCAGGAACTATTAAATGTCACTTTTATACCCAAGGATCCTTCCCAGGTCTAAAATGTAAACTGTGTCACTGACCCTTTCCTTTACTCACCCGACTGCCCGGGAGGAGGGATTCCACCAAGGCCTCGAGGGAGCCTCACAAACACAGAGAGGACAGCAGCTTTGTTGCCAAAACATGGCTCCAGGGCAATGGGTTTAGGAACAGTCTGGTGGAAGAAAACAAATAATTAGCTAAAGTGGTGTTTCTCAGGCTTTAACCGTGTGGCCTTCAGAGGCAATTTTGTAAAGATGCCCTCTGTACTAGTTTCTATTGCTGTGTAACAAATTACACATTTATTTGCTTAAAACAACACATCTATCATTTCAGTCTTATAGTCAGAAGTCCAGATGAGCTCTGTAGGATTCTATGCTTAGGGATAGAGGACTATTCATGTTTTCCATCATTTTGAAAAATTCTTAGCTCTTCTCTCACAAGTCTCAGCTCTTATCTTCACAAGGGGCAAGTCAAGTATCCCAAGGCTCTGGGGAAGAATCTGCTTCAAAACTCATTCAGGCTGTTGGGAGAACCCACTTCCTTGCAGCTGTAGGCCTGAGGTCCTCACTTCCTTGCTAGAGGTCAGCCAGGGGCCACTCTCTTCTCTTAAGAGTCCACCTGCATCCCTGCTCATATGGTATCTTCAGCTTCAACCAGCGATGCCACATCAAGTCCCTACCACGCTTCCTCTTGTGCCACCAGCCAGAGAAAACTCTCCCCATATCTTAAGGTCAATCATCTTGGGGCTTTTATTACTTCTGCAAAATTCCTTCATAGCAATACTTAGAGTTTGACTAACCATGAGACAGGAATCTTGGGGGCCATCTTTAGAATCCTGTCCACCATACTCCCAAATATGTCAGCAATCTCTTCGGTTTGGTTTAAGAAAATAATTTCCAGAACCACCCTGGCTGTGGCACCGGGAAATAACTGAATGGGTGAATTGGCAGAAGTAATGAAACCAGTTATGAGCAACTACAATAATACAGGTGAGAGATGACAGTGGCCTAGACCAAGGTGGTATAACAGTGGTGGAAGGGTGCACAGAGGTCAGGAAATATTTTTGAAGATAAACCCAGAAAGATTTGCTGACAGACTGACTATCCAATAAGAATGAGAGTAAGAATGAGTCAAGGATGATTCCACAATTCTGGCCTGAGCAACGAGGAGATGGAGGTGATATATACTAAGTGCAGGAAGGTATGCCAGAGGAGCAGGTGTGGGAAACACTATACACAGCTCAGTTTCAGATGTGTTCAATCTGAGATACCTGTTAAGACATCCGAGTGTGAATACCGAGTGAGCAATCTGATATACGAGTTGGAGGTTCATGGGAGAGACGTGAGGGGAAAGCACCCGGTGTTTATCCACGATGGGTAAGATCACCGCTATGATCTGATGTCTGTGTACTCCCAACGTTCATATGTTAAATTGTAATGCCCAATGTGATGGTGTTTGGAGGTGGGGACTTGAGACCATAAGGGCAGAGCTATCATTAATAAAATTAGTACCCTTAGCAAGAGCTCCCGCATCCCTTCCACCATGTAAAGGTTTCAGCTAGAAGGCGCCATCTAGGACCCAGAAAACGGGCTCTCAGAAGTCAGTGAACCTTCCAACACCTTGATCTTGGACTTCCAGCCTCCAGAACTGTGAGAAATAAATTTCTGTTTTTTGTAACACCCAGTTTCTGGCATTTGGTAATAGCAGCCGAAACAGACTAAGACAATTACCAAAGGAATAGGTGTAAAAGATGCAAGAGGAGGCCCGGAGCCTGAGCCTGATGTGCACCGCTGTTAGAAGGTGCTGGGGAGATGAAGAGGTTGAGCAAAGAACACTGAGCAAGAATAGCCACAGGGCGAGTGTGTGGCGTCCTGAAAGGAAAGAGTGTTCTAAGGATTAACCACTAGGTTATATGCTGCTAACACATGACATGAGGTCTTGTTCAGTATTTTAGGTTTCATCTTGTAAAACTGAAACTCTGTACCCATTGAAAAATAATTCCCCATTTCCTTCTCCCACCCCAGCCCTGGACAACTACCATTCTACTTTCTGTCTCTATGAATTTGACTCCTTGAGGTACTTCATACAAATGAAATCATACAGTATTTGTCTTTATGTGATTGGCTTATTTCAATTAGCATAATGTCCTCAAGGTTCACCTATGCTGCAGCCTGTGTCAGAATTTCTTTTATTTTTAAGGCTGAGTAATACTCCACTGCATGTCTATAACCTGCTCTACTTATGTATTAATCTGTCAAAGGACATTTGGGTTACTTTTTTTTTTTATCCTCACCCAAGGACATTTTTGCATTTATCTTCAGACAGAGTGGGAAGGAGAGAGGGAGAAAGAGAGAGAAAAACATCGATGTGAGAGAGAGACATCGACTGGCTGCCATCCACACAACCCCATGGGGCCGGGGACAAACTGCAACTGAGGTATGTGTTCTTAGCGAGAACCGAACCCTGGACTCTCTGGTCCGTGGGCCGACACTCTAACCGCTGAGCCAAACCAGCCAGGGCTACTTTTATCTTTTAACTAACTGTGAATAATGCTTCTATGAACAGGGGTATGCAAATATCTCTCTGAGACCCTGCTTTCTATTCTTCTGGGTATATACTGAGAAGTAGAATTGCTGGATCATATGACAATTCTTTTTTTTTTTTTTTTTTTTTTATAAAAAGACCCAATACTGTTTTTGTTTTTCTTTTATACTCACCCAAAGATATATTTAAAAAAATTTTTTTTTTCTTTATTGATTTTTAGAGAGAGGAAGGGAGAGGGAGAGAAAGATAGAAATATCCATGAGAGAGAACATCCACTGGCCGCCTCTCACATGCCCTCCACTGTGGATCGGGCCCACAACCTGGGCATGTGCCCTGATTGGGAATCGAACCAGTGACCTCCTAGTGCATGGGTTGACATTCAACCACTGAGCCACACTGGCCGGGCCGGAGGATATTTTCCTATTTATCTTCAGAGAGAGAGAGAGGGAGGGAGGAGGAGAGAGAACCATCAACATGAGTGGGACAAATCGACTGGTTGCCTCCTGCACAACCCCAACCAGGGCCAGGGACAAACCACAACCAAGGTACATGCCCTTGACAGGAATCGAACCTGCGACTTCTGTTCATCTGCGGGCTGACACTCCAACTGCTGCGCCAAACCAGCCAGGGCGACCCAATATTGTTTTTACAGTGGTGGCATCATTTTTGCATTCCCTCTAACGGTGCACAAGGGTTCCCATTTCTCCACACTATAGTCATCTTTTTTTGCTCTGGCTGATTTTAAGATGTTCATCTTTGGAGTTCTACAGTTCCACTGATAAATCCAACTGTCTTTTTCTTTCTCTCCTGCCTCCCCTTTGTTTTCTTTCCTTAATCCTGCCTGTGATATGTTTTGCTTCTGAAATCAGTACATTCATGACTTCTATCAGTTCTGGAAAATGCTGTCATTATCTCTTTGAATACTGTCTCTCCTCCATTCATTTGTTCTGGGACTCTGATAACATACATGTTAGATCTCATTCTATCCTCCACATTCTTATTATCTGTCATATTTTCCACCTCGTCTCTATTCTGCATTCTGTATAATTTCTTCAGATTCATCTTCCAGTGGAAAAGCTTTCTCACTTGTGTTTGATATGCTGTTTAGCACGTAAACTGAATTATTTAAAAAATATCTACTACTACATTTTCCATGTCTAACAGTTCCCTTCGGTTGTTTTTCAGATCTGCTTGGCCATTCTTGACTCTCATGGCTTCTTTATCTTTATGATTCCATCTTTTATTTCTTTAAACATTTCATACTTAGCTATATTATATTCTTTAGATATCAAGTCTAACATCTGAAGTCCTGTCTAAATCCACCATCTGTTGTTTCTGCTGACTTGTATGCATGAAGGTGTGTCTCTCTTGTCTTTGTGAATCACTTTAGGTTCTGGTTTTGGTTTATGGCTTGTTCTTTCTTAGAGAAGGAGAAGGAGAGTGGTCCCTGAAAATATTACCTACTTCCTTTGAGATCAGTAAAGTTTTAATAAATATTTTCTATTCAGGATATATAGCTGTTTCCCCAAAGTATCTGAAATATCTCATCATTTTGTTAAAACAGAAAGTCTCATTACATTCCTCATCATTTGTGTGTGTGTGTGTGTGGGGGGGGGTTCCAGAAATATTTACTTTCCACAGAATTCATAGTGAATTATGATTCTGTCCCTTTAAAAAATATCACTAAATACTTATAAAGAACGATGGTTCAATTGAGCTTTTTTCAAGTTTTAAAGTATTATGCCATAGAATATCAAGCAAATCATTTATATTTTAGAATTCCCTGAACATGAGACTGCTTAGTGACGACTCAGACTGGAAAATGAAAGCAAACATGACAACTTTGGTCTGCTGGCTTATTGTGAAAAAGAAAGAGGAAAACATAAGAGGCAACAGAGTAAGTTTCTTTTTCTCTTAGGTTTCTCCGACTCAGAAGCATGAGTTTTAACAAATTAAGATATAGGCACTTTGTAGCCACATTCTCACCTTTATTGTTCCCCCAATAAGATCAGGAGGCTCTTCATCTGTTTCCAAGGCAACATTTACAGAGGCAAAGGGACGACTGGCCATCTGCTGCATCTCTCGAAGAAGTTGCTGATGAGTAAGTAATACAGCAAGCATTAATGCAACAAGTACTGAGGGGATTTTATAGAGAATACTACATTATTAAAAACATCTCACCCTTCCTGATTCAAACAAATCAAATCCAAAATATTTTAAAAACAGTTTGGGAAAGTTGGACAGGGACCAAGTACTAGATAACATTAGGAATTATTAAATCTTGTTGGATGTGGTAACAGTATCGTTATTATATAAAAGAAAAAATCCTTATCTGTTAGAGATATATACTTTAGTAAGGCTATAATGCCATGATGCTGGCTTGTTAAATACATAAAATTAATGATCTAGCCCTATGTCCTCATATTTTTATTACTAGATTAAAGCCAGGCTTTCTTTTTCCAGCTGAAACTTGAACCAAGTATTTACACAGCAACAAAAACCTGTCCCTCGTTGCATAGTAGATAGGAACTGAAAAAATTCTTTATTCAGAGAGGTGGTGTAAGCTAAAAACATAAACAAGCGTGAAGTTTTGCAGAATTAGAGCGGCAAGCAGGCACTCTGGATTTAGGGAGGCTTGGAGGTGAATCCCTGCTCCATTGCTCTCCAGTTATGTGACCCTAAAAAAGGTGTTTCAAGTCTCTGGGCTTCAGTTCCTTCCTCTCTGAAATGTGTTTTTAATCTCGTAAGTGTGCCATTTGCATCAAATGAGATACTTTACCTAGCACAGTGTCTAGCACATGGTGTATTATTAAGGATATTAGCAATCTGGCCATGTTGTTGAAGCTTTGAGGTCATGTCATGGAAGATAACCAGGCCTTACTTCAAACCAGCCATTGGAACTATTGTATGAGATTGAGAATCTTGGGCTGGATAGACTGAGATAGAATGGATAGGTTGAGATTCATGGCTTTGTTTGTTTGTTTGTTTATTTATTTTTATTCTCACCCGAGGACATTTTTCCATTTTTTGTTCAGGTAGAGTGGGAGGGAGAGAGAGGAAGAGAGATAGAGAGAAACATCAACGTGAAAAGGACACATCGAGGGGCTGCCACCCGCACGACCAACCTGGGCCAGGGACAAACTGCAACTGAGGTAGGTGCCCTTAGCGGGAACTGAACCCCGGTCTGGACCACAGGCCAATGCTCTAACCGCTGAGCCAAACCGGCCAGGGCTCATGGCTCTGTTTTAGAAGGGCATTTTTATGTTATTTTATTTAAAATATTAATAAGAACGTTCTTACATCTCATAAAGGTGCTAGTCTATTTAGTCAACTAATATATGTAGTAACCTACTCTGGGTCCTGTGCTAGTCTTAGTGCTAGAGTCACAGTAAGAGGCAGTGCCCACCCTCGACCAGTCCCCATTCTAGTTTCTTTATCAAGAGTGCAGGAGATAATGTGTGTAAAGCACTTAAAATGACCTGGTACGTAGCAAGGATTTATGCAGTGTTAGCTGCTATTGTTTTTATTGTTATAAATAACATCAAATCATTTCTTCTGCTGTTCTGCGAGGGATAATGACTGACAGTTTAGAAATGATGAAATATATTCTGAATGGTCAGATTCACAGTAATATAAACTTTAAATCACAAGGATAAAAACTTAGTTTATTGGTTGGTCAACTGCATAATAAGCACACTTTATTTATCCCTACCTGGGGACATCCTTCCATTTATCTTCAGATAGAGTGGGAGGGAGGGAGGGAGGGAGGGAGGGGGAGAGAGGGAGAGAGAGGGGGAGACAGACAGACAGACACATCGATTGGCTGCCTCCCACACAACCGCAACCGAGGCCGGGGACTGAAAGGCAACCCAGGTACATGCCCTCGACCAGAATCAAACCCGCAACACTTCTGTCCTTCGGGCTGACACTCTAACTGCTGAGCCAAACTGGCCAGAGCCATAACAAGCACACTTTAAAAAATATTTTTTTTCTACAAGGTGTTCATCTTTTCCTTATTTCCTTTCCTGTATGTTGTAATTATTTTCTAAGTAGTTGTCTTCTGTGTTATTTATTTGTTTGTTTTGTATATACTTAAGTATTATTATTATTCTTAACAGAAGTGGAAGTCCACCTTTCTTTTTTTAAGTTTTTTTTCTTTACTGATTTTAGAGAGAGAAGGAGGGAGAGGGAGAGAGAGATAGAAACAATGATGAGAGAACATGGATCGACCCTCTCCTGCACGTCCCCCACTGGGGATCAGGCCCACAACCTGGCCATGTGCCCTGATCGGGAATTGAACTGGCGACCTCTTGGTGCATGGGTCAATGCTCAACCGCTGATCCATAACGGCTGGGCTTAAGTATTATTTTTTTATGTAGGCAAATCTCTACTATACTGTATTGTATTTCAATAATCTCATCTGAAAATAATTCTGTCCCTTTCCAACGGTAACAGAACTTATTTCTCTTTCTCTCAGTGCAGTCTAGAATACCCAGAACAAAATTAAGTGACTACGAGGACTACTGATGATTAGACAGCCTGTGAAGACAGAAGTCCCAAGTTTAAAGCCCAGTTCAGCCTCTAGGTAACTCTATGATGATGCATAAGTTATGCCTCTCTGAGCCTTAGTTCCTTTATCTGTGAAATAGGGCTAGTGGAAGTAACTATTTCATAGGGTTAAATTAGTTAATGAGCATTAAATTAGTTAATCTATATAAAACTGCTTAGAATAGTGCCTGGAATTTAAAAATGCTCAAATGTCACCCTGGCCGGTTTGGCTCAGCGGTTAGAGCGCCCGCCTGCGGTCCGGAGAGACCCGGGTTCGGTTCCCGCTAAGGGCATGTACCTTGGTTGCAGTTTGTCCCCGGCCCTGGTTGGTCGTATGGGTGGCAGCCACTCGATGTGTCCCTTTCACATCGATGTTTCTCACTCTCTCTCTTCCTCTCTCTCCCTCCCACTCTGTCTGTACAAAAAATGGAAAAATGTCCTAGGGTGAGGATAAAAAAAAAAAAATTAAAAAAAAAGATGCTCAAATGTCAGCTTTTATTATGACTAATTTATCTGAATTTTATTGGTACAACCTTTAGTATTTTTTCATCATGAAGATGTTGGTTATCTTCAAAGTATAAAGGAGGTATTATTTTTGAGTTTACTAAGAATTCTACTTCATTTTATTATTTTTTTATCCTCACCCAAGGACATTTTTGCATTTATCTTCAGATAGAGCGGGAGGGAGAAAGGGAGGAAGAGAGAGAGAGAAACATCGATGTGAGAGAGATACATTGAGTGGTTGCCACCCAGATGATTCCAACCGGGGCCGGGGACAAACTGAAACCAAGCCATATGCCCTTAGTGGGAACCAAACTTAGGATTCTCTGGTCTGCGGGCCAACGCTCTAACCACTGAGCAAAAGCCAGAGCAAGAATTTTATTTTTAAAGTAGAAACTGGTGTTGAATTTCAAAATGACTAAATGATTACTTGGCCACTACTAAAAATTTATAGGTTTTATCTTTTAACTGACCTTTATTTATTTTTTTTGGTACTGGCTTTCTCAGGTTTTAGTTTCAAGGTTTTTTTATGTACAACATTATTTAGGACTCTTTAAACATTTAAAAAAATTTATTTTAGAGAGGAAGAGGGATGAAAGGAGGGAGGAAGGGGGAAGGGGGAGAGAGAGAAAAAGAAAAAGAGAGAGATAGAAACACCGATTTGTTGTTCCTCTTTATGCATTCATTGGTTGCTTCTTGTATGTGCCACCTTGGCGTATCAGGATGATGCTCTAACCAACTGAGCAACCTGGCCAGGGATGATGTAAGACTCTTTTCTTTCTTTTTTTTTAATTCTCACCTGAGGACATTTTTGCATTTATCTTCAGATAGAGCGGGAGAAAGAGAGAGAGAAAAACATCGATGTGAGAGACTCACATTGAGTGGCTGCCACCCACACGACCCCAACCAGGGCCGGGGATGAACCGCAACTGAGGTACGTGCTCTTAGCGGGAACTGAACCTGGGACTCTCTGGTCCACAGGCCGATGCTCAAACCGCTGAGCCAAACCAGCCAGGGTGATTTAGGACTCTTAAACTTCCAATCTTATCCTTTGCTCTGGAACAGTTTATATGTTTTGAAAATAATTCTCATAAGCACCCAAAGAGGAATAAACTATTATTATCTCCATGAGCTCATCTCAAATGGAAACTCCCTGGGTCTAATACCCTTTGTGGAGAGAGTAATATTTTGACAAGTTTTCAATTCCTTCTTCCCTGGTCACTAGTTTACTGTGACTCCCACTTTTTTCTTACTCCATTTGGATAACTTGTATTTTTTTTAATCTCACCCAAGGACATTTTTCCATCTATCTTCAGAGAGAGTGACAGGGAGGGAGGGAGAGAGAAACACAGATGCAAGAGAGACACAATGATTGGTTTGTTGCCTCCCACATGACCTTGACCAGGGCCAGGGGCAAACCACAACCAAGGTATGTGCCCCTTGACTGGAATAGAACCCTCAACTCACTGGTCTGCAGGCTAATGCTCTAACCAGCAAGCCAAACCAGCCAGGACAATAACTTGTATTTTTTGAAGACAATGAAAATATCTTAGTAACAGAGCTAGAAAGAAACCTCTGAATATGTTATCCACTGAATTCTTAAAATGGTAATAAAGAGGATGCAACATTAACTCTATGATAACATCACCTTTACATGGGTCAGAAATGGTGTCATGCCCCTATGAACAGGCCCATATCCTGAAACCTCTCCTAATTCCACTGCAGACATTAATGTTCTATGAATAGTGCTGAGTGCTGAGTGCTTGTGAGTTTTGATTTTAGGTATTCTCATTCTCTTTCAAATCTTGCCTACCGATTAATTTTTATATAGAAAAAGACATAAGTAGATACAGAAAACAAAGGAGCACATGCAAGTCTAGATCTCAGTGCATTTCCATTAGCAACAATGCAATAGACCTGATGACTAGAGGGCAGAGTATTAACAAGTGAAAGTTGCAATAAAGTTCTTATATTGTCATTTTTACCCAAATGTATTTATTTGATTTGTCTATTATAAATATTTGTTTGACTTCTTACTTTCGTAATGGAGCTCTGGAAATAAATCAAGACTCATTAAAAAATAAAACTCGTCCTGGCCAGTTTGGCTCAGCAGTTAGAGTGTCGGCCCGCGGACCAGAGAGTCCTGGGTTCAGTTCCCGCTAAGGGCACGTACCTCGGTTGCAGTTTGTCCCTGGCCCTGGTTGGGGTCATGTGGGTGGTGACCACTCGATGTGTCTCTCTCACGTCGATGTTTCTCTCTCCCCCATCCCCGCCTCCCTCCCGCTCTATCTGAAGATAAATGCAAAAATGTCCTCAGGTGAGGATAAAAAATAAATAAAATAAAACTCAAGCAAAAATTTAATTAGATACACATTTATCTTTTCTTGAAATACGAGACATTTTAGAGATGCTTAAATGGCTGATTCTACTCTCATTCTTATTAAAGGCTCTTGAGAAGTCTGTGCTACTGAGCCCTCAGATCTCCAGCCTAAGTCAAGGACCAGGGTTCTGGCAGGACGGGTAAAACTGGCACTTGTAAGTCAACACTAGAGTTTATTTTTATTTAAAAAAATTTTTTTTATTAGGGTTTCTTTTTAGAGCGTTGAGACCATGTAGGGTGGAATTAGTAACACTTTATATAGCACTAACTGAAGTCTTCTGACCATCGTTGAACGGGTTGCATCATTCTCACTGTAGACATGTCCATCAATGATCACTAAATAGCCAATGCTGACTTGTTTAAGAGAGATATGTAGAAAGGAAAAGCTCTCACAGGATTCATTTATCTTTATCCACTGAGGCTTACCTCTCTGCGCCTGGAGGCCCAACAACTTTGTTTGATCTTCCAAACCACAGCAGCCACCAGGAGCAAAGAGAGGAAACAACTGTGAGAAAGGAAAGTACCAAATTATTATCCCAGCCCCCAGAATCAGCACCACTGTCATCCACATTTCAGTCCAGGCAGGAAAACAATCCCCTAAATAGCACCCCAGCTCCTCTCTGATGAGTAATCACAGCCATGTCCAGTTCACAAGAAGCAAAGAGTGAGGAGTTGCATAAAGCTGAGCTTCCCAACCCAAACTTGTAGATCATATTGTCCCCACGAGGCACTTGTAAAGAGCCCTGACCTCCCATGGGACCCTCAATGGAAAAGCCCATCGTGGATCATCCCAAATAAGTAAAATAATTCTAACATAATTATGATAATAAACATTCTATTTAATCAAAATTAGCAAATGTTCACTGGTAAGATCTAAAACTATGAGAAAAGTTAATTTTTAAAGTAACTTTATAAGACAGAGGTAAATGTAGAAGAAAAAAACTTATGTGTCATAACATATTCAATTATATTTTTACAAAATACATATTTTTTTTATAAAGTAAAATGATCAATCTGAAGCCGACAACTTTCTTAAAAGTATCTCCCAGTGGTCACGTAACTGCAAGTAATTTCAATGCTCTCCCAAATGTAAACCAGGCACTTGATGGTCTGAAAAGCTACTGTGACAGCAGAGAAAAACTGACTTCTGGTTAAAAGGATTAATGGGCTGAACAAATACACTTCTTAGATAACTAACTGCTAAAGTAATTAAAAAACTGGCATTTTCACTCAATGACTTGTAAAAGGGGCTAGCTACTGAGTATTATTCCAGAGTGTTATACACAGACATGATGCCCTTGGCCCGTGCCAGCAGGTACCCTCTTGTTGAGCTCTGCATTTACAGGATGGGGCCGGCTTTGTGAAAGGCAGCCTCAGTGCACCCAAGCGCTGACCCCAAGGCAGGTCCCAGGCTGGCTGGAGAAAGGCACTCGAAGATGCTGAGATGACTGAACTTTGGCCCTTTCACAAATAGAAACTTCAAGGCTCTGACAACTCACCACTTCCCCAAGACGCACAAGCATGCAGACTCCTCCTGGGTACCCTGACAAAAGGTAAGGGGCCCCAGAGTCATCACTTAGCAGAGAGCCTTCAGTTCCTGTCTGCTGGTCCTCTCGGCTGTCCTGACACTGTCGGTCCTTCCTCCTTCCTGACAGTCTCTGTTTTCCTTTTTATCAATACTTTATTGAGCCAGGTCCTGTTGTAGGCTAATGGAATACATTGATGAATAGAACAAAAGCCCACCACCTTCCAGTAGGTGGAGACAAATAGTAAATAATATAAAAAACAAAATAAAAAAAAAAACACCCCAACATAAAAGAGCATGCCAGAAGGTAGTAAATGCTACAGAAAGAAAAGATGATAAAGGTAAGGGGTTCAGAGTGCCAGTGGAATTCTAAAGCAGAATGGTCACATTGGCCTTACTTCTTGAGAATGTGGATATGTGAGCAAAGACTTAGAGGAGGTGTGGGAGGGGGAGTCATCAGCATGTATATGGTATTTGAAGTAATCAATTTGGATGAGGTCACCAAGGGATTGAATACAAATACGTAAGAATGTCCTATGGGACACTACGACATTGGAAATTTGGGGAGAACAGAAAAAATAATAAAGGAACTTGAGAATAACCTCGGTTTTTTCTGGTTTCCATGCATAATTCCACTTTTTATTGTTTTTATTCTAACAGATAAACACAGGGAGGCAGTAAAGCCACATGGAAGACACAAAGCAAATGAGAACAGCTTCTAAATTGGTCAAGACACTGTTGATGCAGCTGACCACAGGGCTGGCCTCAGAGGCTTCTCTTGGGACTACCCTCTCAATGGCTGGGACTACCCCCTCAATACAGAGCCTCTGAGAGGGTAGGGTAGTCCCACTGAGGGTCAGGAGGCCCCTTTTTCCCCAAGACCTGGGTGGGGCTTCTGTCTTCCACGTGGACCAGTTCAAAACATCAACAACCCAGTTCCTTCCACCTGTTCCAGCTTTTAGAAGTGACACAAACAGCATACCAACATACAATGACTGTCCTTCAAAGCTGATACATGTATGATTTCTTAGGGTAATGCAACAATGAAAAATTTACTCATTATTTCAATAAAGGTGGTGCTTGCCAATACTCCTTCCCTCTTTTTTTCCTACCACAAACTTGGCTACAGGTGGGGCTATGACTCAGTGTTCATCCTACTATAGTCCCTCTTACCAATTGTTTTCTATATTTTAAAATACAAATGTAATTTAAAGAAATGCATCACAAAAAAATTCAAACATACACAGAAAGAGAACAATCTAGTGACCACCTATATGCCCATTACTTAACCTTGACAATGTTTTTTAAAGATATTTTTTATTTTTTTACATTTATCCTCAGATCGAGGAGGAGGGAGAGAGGGAGTAAGAGAGAGAGAGAAACGTTGACATGAGAGAGACACATCGACTGGTTGCCACCCATATGACCCCAACCAGGGCCAGGGACAAACTGCAACCGAGGTACATGTCCTTAGCAGAAACCAAACCCAGGTCTCTCTGGTCTGTGGGCCGATGCTCCAACCACTGATATATTTTTAGCCCTGGCCAGTTTGGCTCAGCAGTTAAGAGTGTCAGCCTGCAGACCAATGAGTCGCAGGTTTGATTCTAGTCAAGGGCACATACCTCGGTTGCAGTTCAACCCTGGGCCTGGTCGTTGTGCAGTAGGCAACCAGTCAATGTGTCTCTCTCACATCCATGTTTCTCTCTCTACCTCTCTCTCCCTTCCACTCTATCTGAATAAAAATGGAAAAATATCCTCAGGTGAGGATTAAAAATACATATATACATATGTGTGTGTGTGTGTGTGTGTGTGTGTGTGTGTGTATATATATATATATTTTTTTTTTATTGATTTTTTAAAGAGAGAGATAGAAACATTGATGTGAGAGAGAAACGACTGTCCCCTACTGAGGATCAAGCCTGTAACCTGGGCATGTGTCCTGACTGGGAATTCAACCAGGGCATCTCAATCCATGGGACACTCGATCCACTGAGCCACATCGGTTGAGCGTCAACCCATGCGCCAAGAGGTCGCCGGTTCGATTCCCGGTCAGGGCACATGCCCAGGGTTGTAGGCCCGATCTCCAGTGTGGGGCGTGCAGGAGGGGCCAATTGATGTTTCTTCTATCTCTCTCTCCCTCTCCCTTCCTTCTCTCTCTCCCTCTCCCTTCCTCTCTCTAAAAAACCAATAAAGAAAATAAAAATAAAATAATAATAAAGTTTTACTTTTATTTTTTAAATCCTCACTGGAGGATGCCCAAGTGGGAGGGAGGGGGGGAGAGAGAGAAAAACATCAATGTCAAAGAGACACACCAACTGGTTGCCTCCTGCACAACCCTGACCAGGGCCCAGGACTGAACCACAACTGAGGTACGTGCCCTTGACTGGAATCGAACCCAAGACTCCCTGGTCATCGAGCTGATGCTCTACCTGCTGAGCCAAACTGGCCAGGGCCAAAGATCAGTCTTAAAGGTGAAGTGTATTTCTTTCAATACTAGGACACTGACCTAGGCTAAGGGTCCCTTACTTCCTGACAGCTCTGTACCTAAGGAGAAACCAAGAGTTCTTCAGCCTTTTGTTCTGAACCTGTCCCTGCCTATCAGAGGCTTATACATTTCTGAGACTTCTCAAAAATCCATGTCTTGATTCTAGATCTTTCTTTCGATTTTTTTGTATGTGCCTTTTGAAAACTCAAACAATTTGTCTAAAAGCTCAGAGAAATAACATCTATTTCTCTTTTTTTCATCTGGCCGCCTCCTGCATGCCCTCCACCGGGAATTTGGCCCACAACCTGGGCACGTTCCCCAGAATGGGAATCAAACTGGTGACTTTTTGTTGCATAGGTTGATGCTCAACCACTGAGCCACACTGGCTAGCCATATCTGTCTATTTCTTACCAGCATAAGAATACTGTTTTTTGAGAGTCCTGAACTTTCCTTACAGATTAAAGAATGGTCTTAAAACATAGGCAGTACACTCTCTGACACATCTCTTAGCAATACTTTTTCTGATATACCTCCTTGGGCAAGAGAAACAAAAGAAAAAATAAACAAATGGGACCACATCAAACTGAAAAGTTTTTGCACAGCAAAGGTAAACATCAATAAAACGAAAAGACAACCTACTGAATGGGGGAAGAGATTCGCCAATGATACATCCAGTAAGGGGTTAATATCCAAAATTTATAAAGAATTTATACAGCTCAACACCAAAAATAACAAATAATCCAAATAAAAATGGGCAGAGGACCTAAATAGATAATTTTCCAAAGAGGACATACACATGGCCAATATAGATACATTAGAAGATGCTCAACGTCACTAATCATCAGAGAAATGCTAATTAAACCACAATACGACATCACCCCACACCTGTCAGAATGGCTATCATCTATAAATCAACAAATAACAAGTGTTGGTGAGGGTGTGGAGAAAAGGGAACCCTCGTGCACTGTTTGTGGGATTGGAAATTGGTGCAGCCAGTACGAAAAACAGCATGGAGGGACCTCAAAAAATAAAAAATGGATCTCCCTTATGACCCAGTGATTCTACTTTGGGTATATAGCTAAAGAAACCCAAAACAGTAATTCAAAAAGATATATGCACCCTACTGTTCATTGCAGTGTTATTTATAATAGCCAAGCTAATCCAAGTGTCATCAGTAGATAAATGGATAAAAACGTTGTAGTACACATATACAATGGAATATTACTTAGCCATAAAAAAGAATGAAGTCTTACCATTTGTGACAAGAGGGATGGACCCTGAAGATATTATGCTAAGTGAAATAAGTCAGACAGAGAAAGACAAATATCATGTGATTTCACTTACATGTGCAATCTAAAGAACAAAATAAACAAGATAGGCTCATAGATGCAGTGAACAAACTGATTGTTGCCCAGAGGGGAGAGGGGTTGGGGGGCTGGGTGAAAAGGGTAAATGGATTAAGGACAAATTAGTTACAAAATAGTCACAGGGATGT